ATATAATATGAACATATACAAAGAAAAGAAACAAAAGAACAAGATATCGTTCAGCAAAATGAATTTATCACTCAATGTGCTGAGTCCAGAAAGTGCAACTTGACTGTCTTCTTGAAGCGCTGCAAACTTAAGCTCTTAGAGATAGCTGGTAAAGAATTGTATACCTTGACCGCATTATAAGTAAAGGACCTTTCAAAGACCGACGTACGATGTATAGGAATGGAAAGTAGATCATTGTGCCGCAGATTTAGAATAATTTGGTTTCCACGAGGAATCAACTTACAGAGCAAATAGACGGGTTTACCAGTTTTAAAAATTCTATGGAGGGAGGCTCTGGATTGCCTCGCAGCGAGGCATCTGGTATCGTTAATGTGGGTACCGGGGCACGCTGGGATAAGGGACAATGAGACTGCGGACGCTCTGGCGAAGACAGGATCAGCCAGCAAGCTCGTTGGTCGTAGGACTGACTGCGCATAGCGTTAGGAGGAAAATGGAGACGTGGATTGCAAGACAACACTCTCAGAAATGGAGAAGTATCTCCAGACACCCCCGCCAGGCACCGAAACTCATTGAAGGGCCCACTGCTAAGGATGAAGGTTTCTGCTTATCTCTGGATAGAGCCAACCTAATGTTGCTGGTGGGACTGTTGTCTGGTCAAAATACGTTAAGGCGCCACCTGCACGTGATGGGGGTGGCTGATGAGGATCCCTTGCGTGAGCGTTGCGCGGTAGAGGAAGAGACCTTTGCCCCGGCGCACATTCTGTGTCGCTGTGAAGCTCTGAGCTACTTACTGTATACTAATATAGGCAGACTATACTGGGGTCTATTACTTTGGACCCTCGGAACGTCAAGGAGCTTGGACTCAAGGCGATTCTCAACTTCGCTAAAAGGGCGAGGCTTGTGATCTAAGGAATGTAGAGGTGCATAAGGGCCCGTTTAAGCGGCCTATGCACTGGCTCCTTATTGTGTCCGAAATGCCTCTAATTTCATGATTTATTCATTCATTCATTCATTGACCAAACTCCTTCTCAAAGAAATTATTTAACAATGGTTCTGGCTGAACTAGAACATAGGAAAAAGCAAAGAAAACGTAATTTGAAAATCAAATAGATGGTGTCCCAAGAATAATTTCGAAGAAGGGACAATCTCCAAAAAACTAGAAAATGTTATTGAAGTCCCCTTAATCTACATAAACGCAAATTCATTACTGAATAAGGCTGACGAACTTAAAATTCGAATAAAACAGACAAATCGTAATCTAATCCTGGTGACAGAAACACGGGTCAATAGTGAATAAGGTATTCCAGGATATGTTCAACATTGTAATGACAGGAATGACAGAAAAGAAGGCAGGGTATATGTATATAGATGAAAGAATACTTTAGTAAAGACAAAACCTTTAGAAAGGTTGTTAATAGAAGCGATGGTAAGCTATATGAAATATTGTGGATAGAAATAAAAATATTGTTTTCATCCAACTAGCTTGTCTATACAAGCCTAGCTATGTTATAATCCCAGAATATGAACAGCTACTCGAAGAAAAACATGATTTAGCATTTGTTATGGAGGGATTTTAATCATGCAGAAATCAAACGACCATCTGCAACTGATAAAAAAGCAGACAATAATTCCAGATGCTTTACTGATTTTTATAAGAATATTGTCACCAGCTGATAAATTTCAATACTGGGCGAACCTTGTGCTTGTCAATAAATACAGGGTGTCCGCAAAGTTGGGGTTTTCCTTTACACGACGTGTAGATCTTGAAAACATAAGCAATTTTTCTTAGTACCATATACACCAATGTCTTAAGGGAACCGAGATAAAGGGCTCTGCAACATCAAAAATATCTGAATACCGTCCTGTAGCCGCGACTCGCGACATCCCCGAGTGGTACTAGGACACTAGCTCAACCCGACGACAGAACTGGGTCGGGGTCAGTGTGTCAGGTCAGTATGCAACCTTCAACCGACGATTACGGTCACGCGTGTAGAGGTAAACGAACCCGTATAATCGATTGCGTTTCAAAAAACAACAAGCACTAGAGACGTGGCTAGAGAAGTGCAAGTATCAAAAACTAAAGTGTGGCAAACGCTGCGTGAAGAGGGGCTGTATCCGTTTCACTTCCAACGTGTACAAGCCCTTCAACCTGACGATTTTCCAGCAAGAGTGCGGTTTTGTGAGTGGTTGTTGCATCAACATGACAATAATCCGGACTCTTTGAAGTGCATATTGGTGACAGACGAATCTACGTTCACGCGTAATGGGGTGAATAACTTTCGTAACACTCATGTTTGGTCAGTAGGAAATCCGCACGCTGTCCGTCGGGCACATTTTCAACAAACATTTTCGGTGAATGTTTGGGCTGGCATGGTGAACGGTATGCTCATAGGACCATTTATTCTCCCAAATCGATTGGACGAAATGCAATACCTAGACTTTTTACGCAACATTTTGCCTTCCTTGTTAGAAGATGTGCCATTAAGTGTAAGACAATCAATGTGGTTTCTGCACGATGGTCATATTTGTTACCTCTGTTCGTGGTCTGCACCACCGCCGGCGTCTGCTCGGTAGCGCATCAGCTGATTTCATTTTCTGTTGGAGCAATATGATTTCGGGCAGAGACGTACTTAGCCCTTCTCGTCAACTGGAGAGTGAGTACTTTTTCCTTTATTTTTTTTACTTGATCGCTCTCGTTTCACTACACATTACCTTTGTTATTTCAAGGGTAGTTGTTTCTGAAAAGGAAAACCCCAACTTTGCGGACACCCTGTATTTCTGGAGAGGCTCCTAAGACAAGAGATTTTCATACAGCTGATTATGAGAGGATAAATAATCTTTTTCAAGAAAAACTTGTCTCCAGAAATTACCAAGACAGTAATAGATGTGAAGTATACAAGCACTTTGAATAGACAGTGGCTGGCATAATTGATGTGTAAATACCATTGAAGACAGTGAAAAAATATTCAAGGAAATTGATGTCGAACTGAAACTGTGGGGAAAGTACCAGAAAGAAAGAAACGCAGAAAGCTACATGGTATATCAAAACCAGAATAATAAAATATGACATTTAATAAAAGAAGCTCATATGGAATATGAAGAAAATTTGCATACATCAGAGAAAAAGTTCTATACTTATATTAAAAGTGTATTAAATTCTAAGACCTCATTCCTCACACTGAAGGACGGTGACGCTATTATAATTGATGCCAAGCAAACATCTGCAGCTTTTACAATGCAGTTCAACAAGGATATTACCAAGTCACAGCAAGATGTTCCTTCCTTGCCTTTTCACACCTGCTGCTCAGAATCACTTACCTCCATTAAGTTTATATCAGAAGAAGTAGTATAAGCTATTCAGTCTCTAAAGCAAGATTCAAGCCCTGGTTGTAACAATATTTCATCAATATTTGAAAAAATGCGAATTCACTTTATGCTATACACTAGCTGATGCTATGAACAAAGATCTCGACAAAGGAATTATACCTAAAGCCTGGCTGCACTCTTGTGTAGTATCAGTATACAAAAAATATTATATATATATTTGCGAGAAAACTACAGACCTATAAGCCTCACTTTTGTAATTCTTGTGAACTCATGGAAAAATCATAACGCGGGCACTCACACAAGTTTTACTTCAAAATAACGTCACACCAGACACACCATGGCTCTTTACCTGGAAGACATGCGATTACCCACTTGCTCTTTGCTTTACAACAATGGGCAACTATGGATGATGAAGGAAATCCCATAGATATACAATCTCTTGTTTACAAAAAAGCTTTTAATAAAGTTCCGCATAAACACTTGATTAATAAACTTGAGCATTTTGGTGTACAAGGTGAGCTTTTAGGTTGGATAGAAGCATTTCTTATGGACAGAACCTTCCAAGGAAGAGCACATGGGGTTGGTTCTAAGTGACCCACACCCACACTCTTCACTTGGAACTCTTCTATTCCTTGTTTACACGTCAGATCTATCAATAGGAACAAAAACATTTCATTCTATGCATCTGATAGCAAGCTATTCGAAGACCCGGCATTAGAAGAGGTCGAAATTAAAAAGGACATACTCGCCATCGAGGAGTGGCCTAAGAAATGGCAAATGCCACTCAATGCAGAAAAGTACGCGATAGTTCATATTGGGAAGACAAATTCTCATCTACGATATAGGGCAGGCAGAAATTGAAAATGTACAGTACCAGAAAGACCTAGGATTTATAATAGCACATAATTTAAAATGGGAAGCTCACATTGCCAACAAAATCTAATAAGTGTCACTGACATATTTGATTGTAAAAGCTATCCTGCTATTATAGAAAAGCCATACAAGATGTACATTCGACCAAAACATGCATACAGCGTCTAGAGTCCGTATTTTGTCAACTACTGGAAAGATTGCAATGTAAAATAACGCGAATTCCATCAGAGATTTGACATGTGCCATATGAACACTGTCTTAAGGGCTATGAATTTAACAACGCTTGCTTAACGAAGATTACAAGGGGACCTGATTGAGACATTCAAGATAATCAGTAGCTGCTACACTTCAAATATTCAATATGAGTCAAAATCTTTATCTCCGAGACAATACCAAAAAATTTGAAAAAAAGAACATCTGAGTTGATAAGAAAAAATTTCATTTCAAATCGTGTGGGTGCAACCATCTGGATAAAGAACTAGAAGACAGAGCGGCACATTACATGCATTATATAGCATAAAAAGACTTTACACGACAGTGTCATCGGACTGTTGTAGTGCTAATAATAATAATAGTAATTCTACCTTATCCTAGCGCCGCCTGTGAGACAGTAGCAGAACCAAACACTCTATCTCTTTTCATTGTAGATTTCTTCATTCATTTTTGTGTTCTGCTGCTGTTTTGCAGATGCCACTAGGATCTTTGAGATCCATTTCTAGGCGCAAGAATACATTATATGGTTGACTGTCTTCAAGTAGGATATGCTAATGCTTATTGTCAATGTTTCGATAATCTTACAGAGAATATTACCTAGAAAATGATCCAACTTATTTATACCAAACTGCCCAGGCTATAACATATCTGCAGCAAATGTATGGAAAGATTCCGAAGGTGTGGGGTAAAGGAGCAGCAGCCAAACAAGTTTGGGATTTAGTTATCAGATTAGAGAGAGAAAACAATGAAGAACAAAAGTCCAACCAACAGACTTGCATAGATCAAATTATTTTGATTGATCGTGCTGTTGATTTGATCACGCCTTTGGCAACCCAGCTAACTTATGAAGGTATTATTCTTCTTTTTAAAGAGCCCATCTAATTATGCAATGTTAAATCAACCAACATATTTGGTATATGGCTTGATATTGGTTTCACTTGCTCCCTCTATATATATATATACTTTGAAGTTGAGTCATTAATTTTCAGATAATAATTGTACAAGGAAAATAAACCAAAATATGTGTAAAAATAAAAAAAAATGTTACCTTGTTTTATAAAGTATCCTCCCGACAAGTATTTCAGTGCGGACCTGTTCGCCCAAAAGCATGTCACAAAAACTGTTCGAAATGATTTCCGTTTTGCTCGACGCAGAGCTGGGCGCGTCTTAGCCATGTCTCTTTACAAGCACGCAATAAAATCACTGGTTGATTTCTGATCACTGTACTCATTTCCTCAATTCGAGCACGTAATTCTTCACGGGTATTAACCGGTGTTTTATACACTAGAGATTTTAGCCAACCCCGCAAACAAAAGTCTACAGGATTTAAGTCCGGAGACCTTAGCGGCCAAGGTACAAAACTGCCACGGCCGATCCAACGATTACTAAATTGTCTATTTAAAAATTCACGCACATTTCTTGCATAATGGAGGGGTGCCCCATCTTGTAAAAACCACATGTTTTGTCTAATATTTAAAGGCACACCTTCCAGTAAACCAGGCAAATTGTGTTGCAAGAAATCAAGATAATTTTCACCAGTTAAGCGATTTGGTAATTCAAAAGGCCACACTAAAATTCCATTAATAATTCCAGCCCACAGGTTGATTGGTTCAAATCGCTGTTGAAAATTAGTTTCCCTTATTTCATGGGGATTTTCAATAGCCCAAACGTGAGAATTACGTGAATAATAATAAATCATTTAGTAATTCTAAAATTTGTTCCTCTAGTTCTATTTGATCGTGCGGTCTTGGAGCACCGGCATGCTCTCCCCTGTGAGGTCTTAAGTCACCTGATTCACGAGCCCTTTGTACTACATTAACAAAAGCACGAATGGTTGGTTGCACTCGATTGAGAAACCGATCCGCATAAATCCGTGATGCCGCGGCAGCATTTTGTAAATAAGATTCATGTCCACAAGTTCAGCATTTTCGTAAACATGTGCCATTTTTTATTTCGTTTGAGCCACACAACAAACACCACTATTCACTCGCGCGTTACCGACCGATTGACTGAATAAAACTGAATAAAATTGTAGTAAAAACATCGTGATAAGCGTTTCAAATTCTTTCGCTTTTTTGTTTCCGATGCGATTAACCGATAAGGCGGATTATATCCGTTGTTGCCAAACACGAGCACATATTATTATTGAGACAGGGCGGTACTCAAACCTCTAAAGGGCTATAACTTTGTTACTTTAATTTTACCAGAAAAATGTTATAGGAAAAAACATTTCTTTTGATCAGATCTACTCATTGCTAAAATAAATGACTCAACTTCGAAGTCACCCTGTATATACAGCAACCCAAGAAGTTGTATTTCAAACAAGCCTAGGACTTTATCCATATGATCGACCCACTAGTATGCTATTATGTTTCAGGTGGTTTGCGTCGTCAATATTATTTTCTTTTTAATTATTTTAGGTTTGATTGATGAAATCTTTGGGATAAACAATTCTACTGCGTTATTTCCTATTGATCACTTCTTGAGTAGTGAGGAAAAAACTACGGAATCTCTATCTGAAGACAAAAAGCAGATTATACTAGACTCGGCAGATAAGCTATATGCCGATATTCGTGACAAAAATTTTAATGCTGTAAGTTACCAAAATCAAAAACTATTGTGATAAACTGTATCTTAAATTAGATTACAGAAGAAAGGAGTAAGCTTGCTAGCCTTAACATCCAAATGGATCTATTGTGACCCCCATATACACTTTCTAAACTCTGTGTCCAGCCTTGATCATTTAATCAGACTCCATAGCCTTGACACAGGGCCCTACATGCAACTTTCCGCTGTCGGATTTGTAATTCCTACTATCTGAAATCATAGCCTTGCCAGGCCTTCGCAGTGACACAGTAGATGCACTCCTCGTACTCTCTGCAGAAATGGCATGTAGCCTCTTGTCCCAGACCCAAGAGCCTCAATGTGGATTTAGATGACAGTGTCCGGTCAGGAGATCCACTATGGCCTGCCTATTAAATCCCAGTAGGTCCTCTATAAAGGCGGGCCTTCGTTGTTTGATTAACTATTTTGCCTGCCTTTGCCCTAATTGGGTGTTCCACAATTCGATGGACTTTTTCTTGGTCCAATTTCTTATGGACTGTTTTTTGTGTTCGTCACGCCACGGCCCGGAAAGGCTCAAGACCTATAAGATGATTGGGCGCACCCAATCGGACTAGCCCATCCGCCTTTTCATTTTCTTTGTGCCCTTCATTGGGTCGACTTCAACCGGTATAGCACAGGGTAGTAAACTTGGGCCCATTTTGTTTGTAGTTTTTTTAAATGATGTCTTTTTTGTTTTTTTTATCTGCTATGCTGATGATACAAATTTAGTGATGGGTGGGACAAGTGTAGCGGACCTAACTGCTAATTTGAATCTTTTATTCAGAAGTGTGAATACATGGTTTTCTGAGGACAAACTAGTGCTGAATAAATTCAAAACTGATGCTACATTATTTAGACTAAACAGAGTAAAGTCGTTAAGCCACAATGTATTGATATAGATGATCATCAACTGCAGTTGAGTGAAAATGTAAAATTCTTAGGCATCTATATTGATGAATTTCATATTGGACAACACATGTATTTGAACTGCTGAAGAGGTTTAATTCCATTTGTTATGGTTTTAGTGTGCCTTCTTATTGCGAGCCTAGCGCGGTTGTGACGACGCGACGGTCGCAAACTAACAAACATTATGAAACGCGTCTTTTCGTCCATAGTGTAGTGTCTGAGGCGGAAGCCTAGGACGACGGGACTTACCGAGACAGCGCGCGTAGTTTTCAAACGTTCCTGTTCCGCGCTTTCTGGCCACACTACGGGCCTAATCAGCAAGCGAACAAACGCGAGGAGGCGGCGGTAACAAACCAGTTCGGTCTTGTCGCTCGGCGTATGCTCGAGTATTATTGTATTGTAATGGCAGATACTGAATTGTTTATAAGTGCAATTCAATATAAACCACCTATTTGGCAAAGTAAACATCCACACCATAGATATTTTACTTAGGATGTAGTCAAATGTTGACACGGACATTCGAGTTTACTAAAAAAATTTGCTAGGGTATAATCTCAGTTCTCCATAGACATGAAAAAATTCACCAGTTTTTCTCTGTTTTTATTTATTTCGTGCACACCATATCGAATGTTCAACACCTGTCATCTCAGGATCGGATTGTCTAGTAAAAATAACAAATCATCGTCCATAGTTTGGAACTTCTGATAATACGTCGCACCAGTACAAGAGCTCGCGTGTCACTGTGGACACCGCACGCCGCCGCTCGCTACGCCCGCCTTAGGCCGCAGTCACCGCGCATTCAGTATGGCCGCACACTTAGGGTAACATCAAGATATCTAAATAATTCGAGTATGAAAATATTCTACCATGCTAATTTTGAATGTGCTCTGAAGTATGGAATTATTTTTTGGAGGCGAGATAGGACGATTCGGGAAACGATAATTAAAAATCCTTTTGGTCTAGTGAAAGTCGGACTATAAATAAAAATCGCTTCGATTTTTTCTTCCAATGGACGGGAATTGACCATTTTAAAAAAAGTTCAAACAGTATCTAGCACTAAAACCGAAAACTAAATAAGAATATTTTAACTGCACAATGATGTTTGTTTTCGTACTCATATTCTTGTTACTGTCAATAAAAAATAACAAAACAAGTTTTTATCGCTGTTGCTCTGGATACGGCAGGGAATTATAATTATTTGTAGAGATATGCTTGTTAGCGGGTTTGTGTTCAAGTAATTATTAAATGTACCACCATTGTGTAGTAGGTAAAGGTATTGACTTTATATTCTAGGGTTATAAGGTACTCGTCAGGAGCTTCAAAATGATGTGCCACAAGACCCCGGTTTTCATATAATTTTTTTCCAAGATGGCGCCCAGCGTCCATCTTAACATTTTCATCTGTCAATTTTACTCTAAAATATGGTATCCACGCATCAATTTCATTACCTCAAGTTTTAATTTTTTGAATTGATCTGTTCAAAAAATCAAAGGGGAGGGGGTCATTAAACAAAAGCACTGTATAACCATGTAACAAGAAAAAATATGTCTGAGGTAAACTACCATAGTTACGGTGATAGTAACGCAACATTTCATTTTGTAGTGACTATACAATTTCTGGAATGTCATTGTACATTATTATCATGTCATGGTACCCAGAGCAATGTTATCTTGTTTCGGTTTCCCAGCTCTATGAGAGCGTTCACCCTGCTGGTTAGATGGTATTTGCGATGAACTTAATGCCTTTATGGCTGCCTGAGCAGATGGCGATCGACTGATTTGCAGACTAATTCCTTATTAGCTCTTTTGCACAGACTTGTAAGGCCGCTGCTTCAGCCTGAAATATTGTTGGTCTATTACCTAGAATTACAGAGATCTCATTTTGACTTTGTCACATAAATCCCTGCTGTTTGATAGTATTTATCGAAATTGTACATTTGGACAATTGTGTCCATGGGCATTTCCTTCAACTGTAATGTTTTTGATGGTATTGTCCGTGCAGCTGACTGATCGGTGATTGGCATTGGGTTAGTCTGTAAACCACGGAAAGAGCATTACTCTGAATAAATATGTGAAATGGTGGTAGGTCGTATGCATGGCTGAGCAAGCTAGCCTCTGAACGCCACTTAATAGCCTTACTGCTCCTATGTCACTTGATCCATAGGTTATCATGGGTCTCACCACCCTTCTGTATAACCGCATGCTCATTCTTGAATATAACTCCCAATTTCTCCCGCACATCTCTCTACACATTCCTATGGCTATTGTACCTGTTAATAAAATTGCAATAAATCATTTTAGGTAGGCGCATATTTGTCAAAACAAGCCAAAGCCATAAGTGCCCAATGTGAAAGCACACAAGAAAAGTCTGTTCAAGAGATGAAACTGTATGTTCAAAGATTGCCTCAGATTCTGGCAAAAAAGAAGCAAATCGCAACGCATACAGCCATAGCTGAATGTATAAAAGAAGTGACCGACAGTTATGATTTTTTGGATTACTTACAGGTGAAGATATATATTTTTTGATATACAGTTGATCATATCTGACTGATTCTTTTTTCTTTGAAGGCAGAGCAAGAATTCTTGAACTGTATTGAGGTAGACAAACCAAGTCCTTACATAGAGCAAATGATCGCCCAAAGTAAACCTTTAGTTAAAGTTCTGAGGTTGATGTGCTTACAATGCATTGCAAACTCTGGTTTTAAACCAAAGGTTTTGGAATTCTACAAGAGAGAACTGGTTCATGTATGTATATTTTAACAAACATATGTTAAATCAGAGTAATCTTTGATTTGTCTTAGGGCCGTATTGTCAGTCAATGCGTAGTACAAATTGTAGGTCGCCTTTATGGCCTTCTTGATTTTCATAGTCTCTTCTCTCCTCCTTCAGGAATGCTAGGGTATTTCTAGATTTCTACTGTTCCATGTCAGCGTCAGGCTCTTCTATTGTGACGTTATGTTTCCTTTTTGAATTCTAGGAAATTTAAGGCTGTTAAAACAGATGATATAAATTAAAATCATGAATAATTTGATGCAAATAGATATTTGTGACATAACCTCAAAATAGAGCGCTGACACGGCACAGTAGAAAACTATGAAAATCAAGGAGGCCATAAAGGCGTCCTAGAATTGTAGGAACGACTGACGATACTTCTCTTAATGCTAGATGTAATTTTTTTAGGAGTATGGTATAGAGACTCTGCTAGTCATATCAAAACTTGAGAAAGTAGGGTTACTGAAGGTGCAATCGAGTACCAGACAATATACATCTTTAAAGAAAGCCTTGAGATTGATCATGGAAGATACATCGGAAATAAATCCAACTGATATTAGTTATGTTCACAGCATATATGCTCCGCTCAGCATAAGATTGGTGGAACATGTCACTAAAAGTGGTGGTATGAAGCAGTTACAAGAAGTTTTAGGTTTATTGCCAGGTAACAGTTACTGCCGGCAGTTAATGACATAACATCTTTAAAACCTTGTTTTCAGGGCCGACTCTCGATGAAACTGTAACAGTAACTCCTGGATTGCTGACAGGAAATCCTGATGTACCAATGACTGTCCTGGTATTTTTCATAGGCGGATGCACATTCTCTGAAGTAAGTCAGCAATTACAACTTTTTTTTAGTTAGTAACATCGCATTATTTTTTTAGATTTCCGCCTTGCGATTTTTATCTCAACAGGAAGATTCTAATGTTGAATTCATCATTGGTACCACGAAAATGATCAATGGATATACATTCCTGAACTCAGTTATAGAGAACTAAGAACATATGCACCGTATTTTTTTTTAGGGAATGAGCAATTCATATAAAAAATTTTATTTTTGTTATCTGTACATATATCACATTTTAATTTAAAATATATATAAAGAATAAAAAATAAGTTACACACATCCGTAATTGTTTCTTTATATCAGGAAGTTCGGAAAGTAATTGATTTTTTATCCAGGAAAGTGATGAAATCCTAAAAATAGTAGTTATCTCATTTTTGAGCTGAATATTTATTATCACAATATAAAACTTCATATTGACATTTTGATCTGCGGTTTCAATTGATTGGGACAAGGTAGAATATGGATTCATTTTATACGGCAAATGTTTTTCTGATTACTGGATGATGAAAAAATAATATGAAAGTTTCCTTACCTCCATATGGAATTTGCAGCCAGACTGTTCTTTGAGCATGGCATAAACAGAATTTAAATGAATTGGTTCATACAACAGTATGTTTTTCTTCAATTCAGAATTACTTTGCACAAAATTATACCAAACTATTTGAAGAGGGATTCTGCAATAAGCGAGCTTCGCAGGGATTTTTCTCTCGAAAATTAAATCCTCAGGATTCTCGCTAAAACAGAGTCAATAGTAAAACATGCTGAAATATCGATAATCTATGTTTGGAAGTACAAGAATGTTACTATTCTTTAGATGTGGCGATTTTTTTCTTAGTACTTTTCATACATCATGTAACAAAATGTTTACCTTTCAATTATATCATTTTTGCATACTATATCTTTCGACATTAGCCTTGTCTCAGAATCTTCTATAGATACTTCTTCAACATTATCATCTTTCCTCCGTTTTTTAAAAACGCGATTTTCCTCAACTTCGTCTCTATACCTTTCAGTTGTTGGCACCAACGGATGGGTACATTCATAGATATACTTCAACATAGTTATGCCTCTTTGTCTCTTCAGTGGTTTCACTCTGAACTTCTTCAGTTCATCCACAATCTCAGCACTGCTCATCTTTTCATAATCAGGCATTGGAGTTACGTTTCTAGTTTTGATAATCAATTTGTTTTTATTCTTTGGAGTAATAGGAACAATGTCCAGATTTGTCATATCTTTATTTTCTACAGATTTACTTTTTCTGTGACATGGCTTGCTCAATTCTGGTTCACACACCAGATTATCTATGTCAGTTAATACTTCACTATTTTGGAGAAGTTCGTCGAATGAATCACTGAAGTTGCCTGATTTTTTCTGATGTTCTGACATCCGTTTTTTTTCATTTACCCCCATCGCGTCTGAAATGATTTATTAACAGTTGAAAATAAGCATATGTACGCACTGTCTGTAGGTGTCAGTGTTGCCACCTTTCAGACTATTGTGGTAGGTTTTTCGGACTATTGCGGTAGGTTATGGGATTTCCTTTTCTATGGTTGAGACATTCTGAAAATTTGAAATCTTAGGGGTAATTACAATAGAGATTGAGACGTATTCGTTCCTTGGAAGGTTGATGTCATGTCAAAGAATAAAAAACAGGAAATTACTGGGATCCTACTTTGCAACATGTGACGATGAAAAGACGGAGCTGTCCGATTTTGTTCCCAATAGGCGGCGCATGTCAAAGCTGTCAAACATAGATAGAAAGGACTAACAGGAAGATCATAGAAAAAAGATACATTTGATTGACAGGTGATGGGTCAAAGTCAAACTGGATAGAAAGGCAGCGCGGTAGCGTAGTGGTAGACGATGAGGTCTACCAATCTGGCAGCTGCGAGCTGCGCTGATTCGAAACTCGCCCCAAGGAAATTTTTCTCTTCGCTGTAGATTTTGTGTCTATCTGTATGGTCTCAGACTGTAGAACGTGGTGGTATTACCGAGCGGATTTACGCCGTAAGGCTTTCGTTGTTTAATATGATCCTCAGCTTGGCTAGGGCCATCTGCTTTCCAAATTATCCCCCATTGAATGTAAATGTCCACATAAAGTATAGCATTGGCCAACTCAATGTAGAGGAAGTTAATTAATGTTGCAACAAATGATTTGGATGAATTCAATCATGCATTGCATTTTCAACAAAATGTATGTTAAAATTGAGATTTGATTGTTGAGTGTACTAGTAGCCATTGGCTAAATTTTGCTCTAATAAAGCCAGTATTATTATTGTAATCTGTGATGGTTAAAGATTTCTAGAATTATTTTCAAGCTTTTTCCCGGAGAGGGACTATCACACTATGTGTATAGGGTCCAATATCATGTTCTTAATTTAAGGATTGATAAATTTATTGTTTTTAGATGACACTGTAATACTTTGGCAATACAATCTCTTACCCTTCTCTTCTATATTTTCATCGTAGCTTGCTTTCTCATCTTCCAACTCATCATCAGAATGCGAATTTGTTTTTTGTTGCAGTTTAGTGCAGTTCAACTCTTCATCACTGATAACAATACTGCCACTAGAACTCTGACTTAGTGATATTTCATTGTTATGTTGCTCCTCATTTACATCTAAAATATGTGTCAAAGCTGTCAGTATTTAGTTTAGGTATGAGATTTAAATGGATGGAATCATTAAAGTTATAGACTATTTCAAAAAAGATGCGTCTTGCAGTCTCATGAAACACAAGGCGCCTACAAAACCCCAAACTTCTTTTTTTATTTAGACTTTTAACAAGTTATGGAAATACAGGGCTTCATTAAAAAGATACGGGGTTTTGAAGTTTAAAAGTAAAAAAAAAACAATCCGTTTTAATATCTTCGAAACTCAACTGAAATGAACTAAAATTTGGTATTTGGATTTACCTATTTATTGTCCACAATCCAAAGTCTTCACTTAAAATTAACGTACACCAATGGCGGAGATACAGGGGATTTGTGGCATTATATTTCCAAATAAAAATAGTACGCCAATATTTTTTTAAACGCGTATTTCCGCAAAATTTGTTGTGGCTTAGACAAGAATGTAAAATTACTGAAAATTGCTTAAACAAATGTATAATCGAATAATTATATGAAATTCACATTGTAGCATTAATGCTAAATAAATCTTCAATAACAACCAGCTAAGAGGATTCAAGACTAAGTTAGTTTGTTGCTGAAAATATATGAAATTTGTTATGGAATTGGCATCATAGATGGATGTAGGTACTAGAGCTGTGTAGCATCAATACTAAAAATATAACCTGATTATTCACATAAACAATTCTCAAGGTAGCAAATTTTATATACTAAATGAGTTTTGAATTCCCTTGTTTGATGCTTGCTGCCCGAGTTGTTGCTACTGATATTATGTTGTAATGTAATACCAGACTTACCATCAGTTACATAGTCTTCTCCCAACATATTTTCTATATACTCTGTAACATTTAACTTGGAGTTACTATTGAAAGATGGAGAGTACAACTTTGAGGCAGAGCTGCATCTAGGTTCATCAAAATCCATATTTACAGTCAAATTAGTTGATAGGCAATTCAGTGGTGACATACTACCTTGATTCTTTCCTTCAAGGATCTGATCTTCCCTTTCCAGATTTTCAGTTGATATTGCTGGATTTTCTGTTTGTTCATTCAAGTGAGAATCCATACTGACAAAAAGTTTATGCTCACCACACTTTTCATTACCATTTATGCAAAATGATTTTTTATCAAATGATAAGATCTGTTCAGTAATGCTTTTATCCTCAATTTCATACTGTGGACCATAAAGCTGAGGTACTTTTTGTTCAAAACTCTCTGTCAAACAACTGAGTAAGTCTGTTGTATGCATACTAGCTTTCTCTTCTGCTTTTTTGTCTGTTTTATTTTCAGCAATCACGTTTGAGTCATCGTCACTATCTAAAATTAGGATTACCTTGTCCTGGTCATCTTTAACTTTACCATATCTTGTTCTGTTATTAGGATTATCACATGCTTTTGAATTTACAGATGTGTACATTTCCTGACTCAATGCAGAACTATCAGCAGAAAAACTCTCATAACACTCTATACCTTTTTGGTTACTACTTGCCTGAGCATTGCCTTGCAATTTCATACATTTTTCTGTAATTTTAACACTCTCTTCATCTTCTGATGAGAATAAGTCAGGAGAGACACAGTAACTACGAGATGGTGCAGAACCTTCTCCAATCTCAGTCTCACTAAGTTTAGAGGTTGTATTAAAATACTGACTTGTTTTCTCAGACTGACCGGATTTTGCATCATGAATATTAACTTTATCTGGCTTAATGCAACCGAGTTTGATTCTTTTAGCAAGTGTGTCACTACTATTTGTACCATTACTACTACAAGAATCACCATGAGAAGTATCAACTTGCACTGAATCTATGTCCAACCATTTTTCAATTTCCTTAAGTGAATCAGTTGAAGGAGTTTGCTCTAAATGATTTATTATATTAATGGAGCAGGAACTGAATTCATCTGATTTTGTGTCTTTCAATTCAAATTCGCTCTCCCTACAACTTTGATGTAAATAGTCTTCTTGAGGTTGCTCTTCAGGATTTGGAGATTCCCTCCCAGGTATACTTTCCCAATTCTTCAACAAACTACCACAACTTGAAAGAGTCCTTTCTAAATTCAAACTTCTTGTATAATAATTTGAAGCATCCTCATTGCTGTTATATGAATGAATTTTCAATAATTTACTGTGTATCACATGACAATTCTTCAATATATTACTAAAAATGTTTTTCTCTGCTACCCCATTTTCAAAGTTTATGATGGGTTGTGATATGACTGTAGATATTTTTTCATCAATGAGGGCATTTTTATCTTCTTGTGCAGTAGAAAATAGTGCATATAAAAATCTGGACCTCTTTCTTTGTTGAAATGCCTAGAATATTTAATATTAAAATAATTGAATAAATATTTAAAGTAAAATTACAGAAGTTAATTATATTGTATGATGACATTTTAATACCTCTTCTTGATTAAATGTTGTTCTGCTAGGAACGCTTCTGCTTGATCTGAATCCATATCTTTCCAATATACTTCCCAATTTGGGGTCAAAAGTTCTTTCTTCCACATTTAATCGTTTGCTTTTCACTGGGTTTTCTTGATTGAAAGTAGATTTTGATAAAGCTATAGCCATTTGAAGATGATCAGGATTGACATCCAAGTGAGAAAGCTTATCTTTAGCCTTCTTGAATATTGCATCAATCCTCTGTGACTTGCATTTCGTGTTTTTCTTGATCTGTCTTTTGGCTGGTTGTTTCTGAACTTTGCTTCTTGTAATTGTTGGAGTTGCAAAACTATCATCCTCATTATTCGTTTCGACACATTTTATTTCACTTAGGCAGTGTCGGTATGGAGAATCAAAAGAATCATTTTCCTTTTTGAACTTATTCATTATTGATATTTTAATATTAGTATTGAAGCCTCAAGAATATTGATAAAGCATCCATAGTGTACAACAAAATCAGGATACAAAATACAGCCTCATTTTTAAATACAAGAATGAGATCTGAATGAGATCCATGGTCCATGGACCACAGCTAAACAAAATGATGATAGAAACCGAGAAAACGAATGAGCAACAAAACAAAAATACAAGTTTGACAATAGATTGACATTCGAATGTCGCACCCACAAAAATTCATATCGTCAAACGTCAATGCGTCAAACGCTGCCAAGACCAACAATACTGACAACCTAACTGAATAAAATGTTTCCACAAAAAGAATCATTTTGTTTGAATTCCTCATGCGTCAGTATGATTTTCTCCACTAATGTAGAATGGTACAGTGGTTTTAGCAACATTTTTAAACAACGTTAATCGTTTTGATTGCTTGGTGCGATCATTTTAATGACGGAAATTGGCAACACAGTATAATCAAATTCAAGCGGATAACCAAATGGAAATGGTATTTACCATTTTGGGTTGGTATTTACCAATCCGTTCAAGCGAGTGTAGTTATCAGTTTGGTTATAAGATCCGTGACGTCACGAATCAGCTGTTATATGTCATAGTTATCACCGCAAAATTGTGGTATTTACCCAACTCAAGAGTAGTTTTATATTTCTGGTTATTATTTGAAATGTGACAAGTTAGAATTTTGCCGGGTATTGGATATTGTTATTGTACTTTTTGAGAAAAATGATACAGGCTGACTTCAGTTTTACCATAAAGTGGAGCACCTTATTAGTTATACTCATTACGGTTGTTGGGGACACTTTAAATGTAGTTCCTATGCTTAACAAAGTATCCTGTGTAGCCATATACCACAAGAATATTAAAATATGGCCATATAAACTCACTAGATGATATCCACCTGTATACGGTTTTGCTAATTTCTTTTTTCATCATTTCTGCTGAATCAATAAATGTTTTGTTTGACATGCGGAAAAATTTAGAGAATTGAAAGTTATCATAGCTACAAAGTCATGGTTCCATCAATAAAAAAAAAACTGAAAAAAACATTTCTCCCATGAAGATTATGAAAGGTTTCTTATTTAAATTTTCCATATACAGTTGTAGACGAAAAAGCACCGATTATTAAGTGATAATAAAAATAATCAGAGATTATATACGCGCTTTTCTAAAATAAACAACTTGCAACAAAACCGCGGTTAAAACCAACGCGTTCAAGCGATTCGTGTAACTGACGTCATCAACCCGTGTGTCATCTTGAACCATATTATAACCGCGGCACATAACACAGAAATTTTGGTTATTCGCTTGGATTTGATTTTTGTGTTGGACAAATTGCAACATAACAGTAGGTTGTCAGTGACTGTCACTTGTGTTGTGACTGTCACTGCCTTTTAAAAATCAGGCAGAAGCATTTCAAAGGTTTTTAATAATGTTTTTCTGGTAAAAAATTCATTAGTGAGCTGTATTACGTAGGAAGTGAAGGGTTAGTCCTAAGGAAAAAAGGTGCATATTGTACCTTGGAAGGATTACTATTCCAGGGATTGGGATTTCAAAATGCCCAAACGATTATGCCCCTTCACTGAGAACGAACATGATATGAAAAAACAGCTGAACGGGAACAGCACAGTCAGAGGAATAAAGTCACATATGTCGGAGAAAACCTTGCAACTTCTATTTCAAGGAGCCTCTAGAAAATTGGAAAAACCACAAGATAATTGCATAGATGTGAAAAGCTGTTATGTCTGTTTAGAAAGCTCGAGCTTTAGAGTAAAATGCTCATATTGTGATAAACAGATATGCAGCTCATGTAGTAAAGTATGTTCAAACTGTGTTGAGGAATTTTGCAAAAATTGTTCATTCCCAAATTACAATAATTCTTCTTTTGTGTGTTATTCTTGCTATTGAAATGTGGTTCTACCAAACAAATTGTGATTTTCTATATTATGTATTTAAATAAAATATGTATTAATTTCATTTCATAAGAACATTTTTTAAAATGTTAGAAGAATCTCATGGCTAATAATAAGTTACAACTTCATTTACAATATTTATTATGGCTATTTGACGTACAAGCAGCACCTCTACTACAAGATCAATATGATGCCAAATATTAAATAACTGCTTTTCTTAATATTAAAGGTCTGGTTCTCTTGTCATTATTTTGTAAAGCCAAGATGTTTCTTTTTCGCCTTCTTTTGTGATTTTCTGAGCCTCCCTTTCTCTAGCTTTTGCCAATAATCCTTCAATTCCAGCACCACCTTGAGTACCTGACTGAATATGTTTAATTTTCATCTTCAAGCCTTCTGGGTAATCAAACTTATCTGTCTCAAGTTTTTGTTTCAGTTTCTTGGTCGAAGGCCAAAGTCTGAAATATGGATAAAGGTATAGATTTGCAAAATGACTGTTGTATTTCTGATCATACTCGTATAAATACCAGCATATACCACTTAGAGCTAGACACCCTAGGGCATAATAATTTCTTTCCACATAAAAGGGGGTGCCTTTAGTTCTTCTTGGCTTGCGATATTTTTCATTTATTCGCCAGTCCGGCATGATTGTTGCAAGAAAAAATGGAATCTGCTTAAAATGGATTGTTTTTTATATAACTTTTGAACATAACCTCACTCAACCACGTAAGATCTTCAAGAACCAGTCACGGAACAGATAGACAAAGACCAAACCAGGAAAGTAGCGCGTTCCGTATAAATATTTTTGGTTAGCACCTCAAATCCTCTCATTTCAAAGACCCAAAACTGGTCCACTTCGATTTTGTACTAAAATTAGCTATGGTTAGTCTTAATTTAGCCTAGTAGAATATATTTCAATAGTGGTCTTGCGTGACAAAGTGCTGACAAATATGAATGATGAGAAATCTTTCTCATCCCCTTGTAAAGCTGTAACTTTTGGCTGTATTCTGTATATATACGAGGGACGTCTTTTAAGTTTTGCATATGGAGATAAAACAACACAGGAGGTAGTTTTAAATGACTTTATTGTTTTTCGAAGTATTCTCCACGAAGATTAATATACATCTGCATGCGCTCGAACCAATTTTCAAAGCACTTATTCCACTCGTTTGCTGGCAGATCCAAAACGGCATTTTTGAATGCGTTAACTGCTTCTTCTGGTGACTGGAACCTTTGACCACGAAGTCTGTTTTTAATTTTCGGGAAAGTAAAGAAATCGTTAGAACTTAGATCGGGACTATATGGAGGATGGTCCAATAATTCACGTCTTCTTCCGTTAAATACTGCCTTGTTTTTTGGGCTGTGTGCGAGCTTGCATTGTCTTGGTGGAGGATGATTCTTCTTTCGGGGTTGATTTTTTGAAGCTCGGTGATGACTTTTGGCAAACAAATGGTGGTATACCAATCCGCAGTAAGAGTTCTTTGCTCATTAAGAGGAATTGTTGCAATATGACCCGCTTTTGACACAAATGTCGTGACCATCTTTTTCGAAACACTTCGAGAACGGATGACTTTTGTTGGCTTTTCTTCACCTTGGAACACCCAAACAGCCGACTGTAGTTTATTTTCTGGTTCATAACAGTAAATGCACGATTCATTACCACTAACAGTGCTGTACACATTTTTTGATTTTCCGGAATTGAAACGGTCAAGCGTTTTTTGACACCAATTAACCCTGGCTGCTTTCTGCTCTTCAGTCAACAGGTGGGGTATCCAACGAGAAACTAATTTTCTTACTACTAATTCATGTAAATTTTTTTGAATTGAGGTCTTTGAGATCTTCAAGGACGCCTCAGTATCGCGATATGTCACATGTCTATCTTCAATGATGATTGATGAGTTTGCGCACAGCGTCGACGTTTTCCTGGGTGACTGCCGTTTTTGGTGCACCCACCCAGGGATCGTCGCTAAGACTCACCCGTCCACGTTTGAATTCTCCATACCAACGGGAAATTGTCGACTGATGTGGCGCTTCGTTGCCGAAAACAGACAGTAACTCAGCAAGGCATGCTTGTTGCGATAATTGTCTCTGAAAGTTGTAATAAATTATGGCGCGAAAATGTTCTCGGTTGAGTTCCATTTTTCTAATGACTTGGTGACACTTAAAAATTGACTGTAGTGAGAACACTGCACGTATTGTTGTGAAACTTTGAATTTAAGTTTACTAAAGAGTGAGGTTATGATTCAGTACTGACGTTCGATCCGCGCGGCCTACTATGTTTCTATATGCAAAACTTAAAAGACATCCCTCGTACCCTATTTCACGAGTATCTAGTTTTACTCACAAAATATACACTGATTACTAGATTTACACCCGATTCATTATTGCCAACGTCGCAGACTAACACAAAAATGTCACTTGCTGATCAATGTGTTCACCTTAGTAGACGTCAAAGCGTGCTAGGTTATGTGAAATATCAAATTTATAGGTTATTGGTTTGAAAAGCGTTTCCCGCCTATTTTTACATTTTCAAGAATTTCAGATTTGACCAAATTTTGAATAATTACCCAAGATATAGAACGAAAGTTTCCATCTGAATGAATATTTGTATACATTATGTGAGTGCTAACTACCTGCAGTCATCATATACCATTTAGAAATATTGATCTTGTCTGTTTTAGAAACAATGTCCGAGGCTACAGTGAAAAAACTGCAAAAAGGACTCAAATTAAGTGGATTCAGCCTAAGAAGAGAATTTTGTGAGAGGGTAGTAAATGAATTCTCCTCAAGTGGTATTAACTTAGACGACAATGGTGCCTTTGAAGATACTATTAAAAAACTGTGTACTTGTTTGGAAGATCAGTGTCTGATAGACCAAAGTATAGAAAAGCAGCATATTGATCGTGTTATAGAAGTTTGTCTTCGATCAGGATATGATCAAAATGAAACAGTATTCAATTTGATCAATGCATTCGATTTTCCAAAGTTATACTACAACATAGATCGTAAACTATTTTTCCTTGATTCAAAACCCTCAATGCTGCTTTCAGATTCCGATTCAAAGGCTCGGTTGTTTTTAGATCGTTACTATACCGTTTTGCAACGCACACGACGTAGTTTTCAGCAGAAATCTTCAGGCCAGGAGTCACTTAAACTACAGACTGTAGATTACCTCCTCACTTTATCTTATGTAACACTAGATCGAACTTTAGTGTTAGGCTCCTTGATTCAAGTTTCTGAAGGTAAATATTACTTGGAAGACCCTACTGGCATGGTTGAGCTGGATTTGGTACATGCTAAGTATCATGGTGGATTTTTTGTTGAAAATTGTTTTGTTCTGGTTAATGGCTTTTATGAGGATAAAGTATTACATGTCTCAACTGTTGTACTGCCACCAAGTGAAGATTTTTTAAATTCTAGACCATCATTTCCAAATTTGAATTATTTTGGAGGGTCATCCAGTGCTTTGCTGAGAGAATCAGTCAGACTCAAGGAACATTTACTTGCAAATGAAAGTAAGATTATGTTGTTCTTCTCAGATGTATGGCTTGATCAGCCTCTAGTTTTACAAAAATTACAAATTTTATTTGAAGGCTTGCAAGATATGCCCCCCATAGCCTTTGTTTTCATGGGAAATTTCATGTCAACAACACATGGTGGCAATGTAATGGATACTCTAAAAAGACAGTTTAAGAAGTTAACAGATCTGATATTAAAATTTCCTGAGATTGCAAATAATAGCAATTTTGTGTTTGTACCAGGTTTGTCCGACCCATGTACTGCACATATGGTACCCAGACTAGCTTTACCAAACTACCTCACAGAACAAGTTAAGCATGTTCTACCAAAGGCAATTTTTGCAACCAATCCTTGTAGAATCCAATACTGCACTAGAGAAATAACTGTATTTCGAGCAGATCTACTGTCAAAATTACTCCAAAGTACTTTGTATAAACCCACAAAAGATGAAATTGTAGATTGTCTAACAAAGACTGTGATTAGCCAGGGTCATCTAAGTCCCTTACCGCTGAATTCACTGACAGTGCATTGGGACTTTGACTATACTTTAAGACTGTATCCATTGCCTGATTTGGTAGTGATAGGTGATAAATCCGAAGCATATCAAGGGCATTTCAAAGGTTGTAGAGTAATAAATCCAGGGGCATTCTGTGAAGGAGGATTTCAATTTAAGGCTTATACACCTTCTACAAATGAGATTGATGATTGTGACTTGGAAAATGTGTCCGACTGATTTATAATAGATGTGTAAATAAAATTTAATTAATATAAAATTGTTAAAAATAAATTTTATTGCATTTCATAACTTCCCTTATATTGACATGGCATATAAATACTTGTGGTGAAGCATTTAGGAATAAATGGCATCAAGTAGGTAAATTAACTCTGTACTTTCCAAGTAATTCTCTGAATTATTTAAAAATCTTAGCATCACATGAATTTTGAATTAGATATTAAACCTAGATAGGTACATCAGATAAATTTCTAACAGACTGAAAATATTTATGTTTTCACTTTTTGTTAATATTAAAACTGATACAACAAATTAGCCTCTGGCAGAAAAAAGGTCACTACGCACATGTATAACAAAAAATAGGTCAAATCTATTATGAATCTATTTGAAAGACTCCATAGGTATTTAGTGATACTTTTTCGCAAGTGTTAGGTATATGATTTTCTACTGTTTTATTAGAATTTTAATAATTGTAAAATCAACAACATCAATCATTCATTTATAATAATTATTAACATAATTAAAAATAAAAGAACAGTTATTTGGATTATGAAAACTTGTAAGCGTTCTAGAAGCAGAACTAGAGCCGCCGACGTCGCTTTCTTCTAAAATTTGATGTTCTCTAGAGCGTCCTATAGAAGTGGCACTGCTTGTGCTGCCCGTGCTTTGTGACGTGAAATGTGAGTTGATTTCCAGGATTTTCTTGGAAGTGTCCTTTTTATTTTCTAACGATTCGGTCACAGATGTAGACTTGCAGCGGCGGTGTCTCTTGATGTCGGGGATAGTGGCGCCAGAGTCTGCCAACATTGTGGTGGAAGACCGCCGAAAACTTTGGCCGGTTTAAAGCTCAGGATTGGGTAATCCCAAATAACTGCCGATTTCAGCGGGCATTTTTCGAAAGGTATTGACCCTGACGCATTGGGTGGTAGATACTCCGTGTTTATATCGTATGAAAAATTCACGATGTGATGTGGATTGTGGACGAACTGATACATACTTGCGGAACAGTGATAAATATTTACCATTTGAGGATTCTTCCGATATCATGAACATTCTGGTGCTGTGCGTTTTGGTGTTAGGGACCTTTACTATCCAAAACGTACCTTTTTCTTCTATATCGTCGACTATCAATAGTGCCAATTCGTCGCGCCGACGACAGGCGCCAGCTAATCCGAACAATGTACTTTTACCATGAGTTAAATATCATCTGAAGCATTATTGAAAAAAAATGGCCGTGTCTGCTTTCGCGAAAATTTTTGATTTTTTTGGGCGAAACCCAGAATTTTGTCTTTTAAGGAAAGCGGTTACGTTATATAATATTTGGCTATGTCTGCAAAATATGCCAAGAAGCCTTATTCTTTAGTTGAAGATACGTTCTTTGACTGGCCTCACTTCTCAAAGTTCCCGAGCTCTTTTTCGTAGCGTTCTTTGGATTTTGTGGGTAAAAGATCTAGGGTTGCGTTGCAAAATACCGTCCGAAATATTGCCTGCCTCCATAGCCATACGGACTATATAAGCTGACGGCCGGGAGAGGGAAGCAGAGTAGACTTGAGTGAATGGCGCGACATGATAATTCGTAAATAAGTAGTCATACATAAATAGTGGTGTACATAAATGTTTTATCCAGTTAAGATAAAGTTAGTTGTGTTGTGTTTTAAATAAATTAGTGCATTTCTTCTTGTGGAATCGAGTGTTTTTAATCCACACCCAAAAGAACCCAGAGAAACGCTACAATACGTATGTTTTTTCTACGTGATTTAAATCAAAGTGATTTGGCACGTAATGCGCGTGTGGAAAAGTGCTGCTTTCTGCACTCAGATGCGTGTTGAAAGTGAGTACTTTCCGCACGCTGGTAGAAAATAGTTATTTTCTTAACAAGTGCCGAACGTGATACTTTTCTGCGCGCGACGGCATTTACACGAACGCCGCGAAGCGAAGTTCGAGCAAGCCGCCAAGGACGGAAAATACACTTTCTGCAAGAGTTAGGTATAATCTTTTCTAACAGCTAAGCATTAGAAAATAATAAACCCAGAATTTTAAATACGTACGATGCTACATTATTTGTTAGTTGAGTGAGTACTTTCCGCACGCTAGTAGGAAAAATACATTTTCTGTTTGGAAAATATGTGTAACAATTACGTCTACATTAGGTGCGCAATATTATCGGGATCAGGAACTTCTCAATAATGGATCGGTATCAGTGCACTGATACCAAAGACGCAACATCTAAAGGGTGTTTTTTTTTAGAGGCGGAGAACTTTCATTTGGCAACACTGTTTTGTGTGACAGCCGATCTGACAGTTCTGGGTTGTTTTTAGGTTAGTTTGGTTTGGCAATTCATCATGAATAGACTGACGCCGGAGCAACGTTTGCAAATTGTTCAAATTTATTTTGAAAGACATGGTTCAATTCGAGAAACACATCAGGCATCCACTGTATGGAAAATTTTGCGCAAAGATCTTGGGTTGCGAGCATATAAAATTCAACTAGTCCAGGAGTTGAAACCCCGGGATCATCTATTGCGCCGTACATTAGCTGAATGGGCGGAAGGAAAGATTGCTGTTGATCCAAGATTTCATATGAAAATTTTGTTTAGTGATGAAGCACACTTTTGGTTAAATGGCTATGTAAACAAACAAAATTGCCGAATTTGGGGTGATGAGAATCCACGAGCTATTGTCGAAACACCTTTACATCCAGCAAAACTAACCGTTTGGTGCGCTTTATGGGCCGGTGGAATCATTGGTCCTTTTTTTTTTTTTTTTTTTTTTTTATACTCCAACTACCACGAAGGCCTAAGGCCTAAGCACCCATTGGGTACCGTGGGGCTATGGGGGATACATGGGAAAGGGGGGACGCCACACGGACTCTGGCGAGGGAACACGTGTGCATGCAACATGCACACATTCTGGCTCCGCCTACGAGAACCGCCGGGTGGTACCTCCGCGTTCGACAGTCAGAGACCATCTACCACCTACGGACAATCACAACATCCATGGCCAAGAGAAACATTTCTCCTGGGACGGGACTCGAACCCGCACAGCGCACGGCGGCTGATCAGGAGACCGAAGGGTCTACTACTGCGGCCACCGCTGCTGCCTAAAACAAACACACAACATCCATGGCGAAGGCGAGATTCGAACTCGCGGCCCGGCCGACCGGCTGATCAGTAGCACGACACTCTGACCCACGCGGCCAACCGAGGTCCTTATGTCTTCAGAAATGCTGATGGTCAGAACGTTACAGTAAACGGTGAGCGATACAGAAACATGATTACTAACTTTTTTGTGCCTCACTTGGAAGGTGTTGCAGGCGTTGCAGAAATGTGGTTTCAGCAGGACGGTGCCACATGCCATAGAGCGCACCAAACAATTAATTTACTGCAAGAGACATTCGAGCAACGAATCATTTCCAGAAATGGACCTGTAAACTGGCCACCTCGTTCGTGCGACTTGACGCCATTAGATTATTTTCTTTGGGGCTATGTTAAGTCGCATGTCTACGCTGATAAACCCGAAACACTTGAGCACTTGGAAGCCAACATTCGGCGCGTGATTGCCGAAATACAGCCTGCAGTACTGGAAAGAGCGTGTGAAAATTGGACCTCTAGATTACGCCATGTACGCGCAAGTCGTGGGGGTCACATGCCCGAAATCATATTTAAATGTTAATGCCAAAAAATTATCTTCAATATAAAAGCAAATTCGTTAATATCAATAAAATATTTTGTGTTTTATTTCAATTCAAAGTTCTCCGCCTCTAAAAAAACACCCTTTATAATCCTGTTCCTCCTATACAATTCTTAAATCACCTAATTTTCAAGCCCTCTAAAATTTTTCAAAAACTAGCAGAAATCTAGAACGTAAAAAAGTAAGAATTTCTATTTTTTTGCATGCAACCCCGGAGGCGCTACATCTATTTTCAAAACAAAAAAATGTTAGCATGTGAATCAAAATCTCCAATCTGCCCGAAATTTCTGTAATTTGACATCATCGCAATCTAGCTACATGTCGATGCTGATGCACAAAACGTTTATTTTTCTTATGTCTGTTCCGTGCTTCCGTTTTGTGCACGTGAAGAAGTGTGGTTATGTTCAACATTTGATGAAATTTATTTGCTTTTGTGGTGCTTTCGTTGTTTCTTATTTTTTTGAAATGATCTATTGAACAGTAGTCAATTATTAATAGCAAATGTTACTTATTCAACTAAAAATAAAGAAGTATTTACCGACCTGTATAGTTTATTGTTGGAGACATGAAAATTAAAAGATACAAGAAAGTAAACAAACATCTGGGGTTTTACATCAACAATTTTGGCTTAAGACAGCCATATCAGCTACTTGTTGATGGTACTTTCTGTTATGCTGCTTTAAATGTAAGTAGAAAGAACCTTCTTTATTACAACATAAAATCTAAACAAAACAACTTTGCAGAATAAAATCAACATAGCTAATGACATACCAAGGTACTTACAAGGGGATATCAAGTTGCTTACCACACAATGTGCTGTAATCGAGATGGAGAACCTAGGACCGAAGTTAAATGGAGCTTTACTGATCCTTAAGAAATATGTTGTACATAAATGTGGACATGAACGCAAGCCAATCACTGGAGCAGAATGTCTTTTGTCCATGTTGGGAAAAACAAATACAAAGCATTATATTATAGCTACCCAAGATAGAGATTTACAAGATAAAGTTCGAAACATACCTGGTGCACCAATTTTATACCTACATATTAAGACTCCTGTATTTGAACAGCCTTCAAAGGTTTCGATGGATACTGTCAAAGACAAATTATGTTTATTGAGCCATAATGAAAAGCAGGCTTTGGAAAACCTTAAGGTACAAAGTGGTATTGAATGTGTAGAAGAGGATACGCCAAAAAAGAAGAAGAAGAAGAATGGTCCTAATCCCTTGTCTTGTAAGAAGAAGATGAAGAAAGGTGTGTTAGATAATCCTATAAAAAAGAAAGGGGAGCCAGAAAAGGAGAAGAAGAAGAGGAAAAAGGTTAGGATTCCAAAGCATGTGAAAGAAGAATTGTTAAAAAAGAAAGATTAGTAAATAATTTATTATTTAAAAAAAATCATTACTTCCTCCATAATGCTAACAGGTCTACTCCTGCCCCTTCAGATTTGCTTGTATTTTGCGTTTTTTGATAATAAGAATTTCGACATTATCTCATTAACACGTTCACTGCCCATGCCAACACAGTGTCAGCATGAGCGTCGCCATAGCAGTACCCTCGCCGACACTTTGTCGTCGACGAGGTCCCACTATTAAATGCTATGTAGATAAGTGGGGACTGCAGTTGAGCTGTGTTTACGGAGTGGGCACTCTGTTAATGTTACAAAAAGTATCTCTCATCATTGGTCGGGTGTTCGCATGTATTGTTGTGCTTACTCGCTGTTTTGAAAGAAATGGCAGATAATCCTATTCCAGGATCGTCTAGACCTAAACGGCTAACTGGTGGATAAGCAGGAAATTTCGAAATTTCTGGGGCTCATATTTCTTATGGGAATTATTCAGGTACCAAGGCTTAGAGATTATTGGAGAACAGATCGTTTCTATAATCTATCATTCCGAAATTATATGAGCAGAAATAGATTCTTAGTTGTTTTACGATGTTTACATTTTGCTCACAATCCACAAGGCGAACCATGGCCTGCTGATAGATTACATAAGGTATGAACGTCAGTAGATTTCTTCAACCACAAGATGTTAGCCATTTATAGTCCACAAAAGAACTTGTCAGTAGACGAATCTATGCTTTTATGGCGCGGGCGACTTTTATTTCGCCAATATATCAAAAACAAAAAACACAAATATGGAGTGGGAAGGTCATAGTCTATACATGGACAATTACTATAATTCAGTAGGCCTTGCTAAACAGCTGCGCAATAGGATGACGTATTGTACAGGAACTTTACGGGCTGGAAGGAAAGAGACCCCTGGTGACTTATCAAAGACCAAATTGTGTACATCACAACCACAACATGAAATATACTCTCGAAGAAGTAACTTCTAATTCTGGGAATACTAAAATGAAACCTACACCTATAGCGGAATATAATAAGTACATGACTGGTATTGATCTGCAGGATCAACTGATGGCATACTATCCATCACACTGGAAGACCATTAGATGGTATAAAAAAGTAGCTCTTCATATAATAGAAATGATGTACAATTCCTTTATGTTGTACAATAAATTCTTCGCACCCAAACTGTCGTACCTGGATTATCGTCACTCCGTAATTGAGTAATTGTTGCCAGATCCAAATACTACTACTACTACGACGAATCCTAAAAGTGATGACTTTCATCTTCCTAGTAAATGTGAGGTAGGTGAAAGCGGAAGAAAACTCAGTAAACGTTGTCGGTGGTGCTCTCAACAAGGTATTAGGAAAGACTAGCAATACTACTGTGCCAAGTGTCCGGAGACACCATGACTTTGTCTCGACTTATGTTTTGAAGGTTTTCACAAAAAACATTGCGAAATAGTGTTTCTGCTTGTCCTCTCAATTCAATAGAGTTTCGTTTCTGTTCATTATCGTATTTTGTGGAATATTGTAAGCATTTTTTTTATTTTCTCTACAGTGTATATGCTGTCATATATTGTTTTCTTGGCTGAAAATGATATTATTTAATTACATGTAATGCTTGTTTTATTTTGCATGTGCAATGAATGCATATATCACAAACTGTGATTTTATTATTTCCCGCCGACAATGGTGCGTCACTGGGCACTGAGCAAGAAATTTTGCTGTTCAGTGCCCATGCCGCAACATATGCGGCGGTGTATTTTTGTGCATGAAAAACTGGAGTATGTGGTAAAAAACATTATTTTACCTCGTTTTCATAACATTTGACACTAATGATATACAGTTCTCCGAATGGTACTAGTGAGTCCGATACCCAAATGCTTGGGCAGTGAAGGTGAGAGGGCATCTCTAATTGGTTCCAGCGACCCAAAAAACGTATTATATTCATGTTTGGGTCTACATTCCTGACTGACCTATATTTGGTCCCACATAACTAAAATTTTGAATGCTTTAACAGGTCGACTGCCATGGCAGTCGTATACGACTGCCTGGTAGATATGCCAATATGCCATGGTGGTCTTATCCAACTGCTATGCACCCGATAAAATATTCGATCCTCATCTGCTGGCGGTCGTATTTAGAATGTTTTGAGATACGGTACACGATCGCTGTGGCTTACGAGGCTCGCATGTAACTGCGAGGTTTGGAATTGTTAAAAAATTATTGCTAAAAAAAGCAATCTTCATTTATTTTTTATTGACAAAATTAAAGCAGCTACATGAAACATAAAAAGAAAAAAGTATAGTATACTACAAAAACATATACCTAACTACTTTGAATGTATATTATATCATTTCAAACAAATGAGGCTGGCCTTCACAGGTACTACAATATGTTACAACCTTTTTTACGTAATTTTTGGCTATTTCTCCCGGAATCTTTTTGGCATAACAATCTTTACAATACTTCCTGACTTTGTCGAAAGGTCCTTGTTTTTTAAGCAACTTATGGATTTGGACTGATTTCTTGAGTGACATTTGCATTGTTTCACTTTCATGATCGGTTTCTTCATAATTCAAAAATGATCTCACTATTTCTTCTCGAAACTCTGTAGTTTTCATTTTTTTATCAGCAAGCTGGTTGTATACTATATGAGAATTTACGAGTGCTGTCCCCAAAATAAATTCTATGGCAAGTTTTTGATACCATTTGAGTGATTTTCTCAAAGGTGAATTATAACTGGTCATCTGATCAGATTGATCAATCGACGATTTAACTTCGTTATATTCGATTATTGCCTTCGGTTTTTGAACCATACCAGTGCGTCGCTGTACATTCACAGTTTCAGTAGTATGCTTAGTAGTGAGAAGAACATCCGTCTTATCTTTCCATTTCAATATGCATACACCTCTTTCATTTTCTTGTCCAAATACTTCCCCTTTTTTTAATTTTTTTTGTATTTCTTTCGGATTTCCACGCCGGTTAGCTATCAGTGTACCAATATAATGTGTTTTATTGTCCAGCAAAATATTTGTTAGTTCGAGACTTGTATAATAGTTGCCAGCTATTATAGTTCGTCCTGAATTTAGTAGGTTCCTTGAGAGATTGATGACGATGTTAGTTGGAACAGAAGCGTTGCCGTCACTTTTTTCCTTGCCGGCATATATTCGCAGATTCCACGTATACCCATTATCACTGCATAATAAAAAGTTTTACTCCATATTTATGGGTTTTTTGTGGAATATATTGCTTGAATAGCAATTGCCCTTGAAATGGGATAATAGACTCATCTATACAAAATGTTCGACCAGGAGCTTTTCTGCTAAAGGCTTCACCTTGTGAAGACGATCACCTTCTAGACAGCTTTCATTGTCAGAGAAGTGCCACATTCTAAGAAGCAGCTGAAATCTATTTCTCGACATGTTTTTTGGTATAATAACATTTTTATATAGGTCATCATTGCTCCAGTACTTTTCCAACGAAGGCATTTTTACCAGACCCATGTAAGCCACTACACCAATAAATCTAATATTTTCTTTTCTATCAGTCGGAGCCCATCGGTGTAGTCTTGATTCTTTCTTTATATCGTTTGTATCATACAATACTTGAGTTGCATATAAGTTCGTTTGATTTACCATCTCGTCAACAATTTCATCGTCAACGAAACTACGGTAACAGTTATAGGGCGATAAATCATTTACAAGTGTTGCTGCATAGTTTCCATGTAAACACCCCTTTGCAGTGTATTCAAATCCTTAATGATTTCCAACTGGTTGTATCCACATATGCTCTAGAAGATTTTGGTTCACTTCAACTTCATTGTTAGATTCCTGGTTTCCCTCAATATTTGATGGCTGGGTTTGAGCTAAGGTTTCGACTTCATAGAATTCTTCCAATTGTTTGTTCTGTTATAGATCATTTGATAAACTGTTCTTGTTTGTTTTTACATGATCAGATGATATACTGGTTGTGGCATTAGCGGCTTCTAGTTCTTCGTACGAGACATCATCAGGTAAAAGTGACTTGGAACAGCATGATTGATTCAAAAATTTAATTTTTCCACTGCTCAATTTCTTTGAGATGGTCTTACTGGGTTGCAGTTTGCGTTTGGGCGTATTTTTCTTTTGTACGGAACTTTCTATTCCTTTTTATAAGTCTGAGAAATGGCAAAAACGTGAGGTCAAGATCAGAGTCAAATGAACCAAATGGATCAGATTCGTCACCTAAAAATAATAATTGATACAGAATACTAACAGCAGAAAACGAAACAATTTACAGACACAAAAGTCGCAGGAGTATCAAAAGACTCATATCTATTTGAAAATATATATTTCAATATAAATAATACAATTATTACCTGACGTTTGGCCATCTTTCAAAGCTAGTTCAACAGTTTTTCTACTTCGACTACTCATCGTCGCATGTGTATAACAAACAGCGATCAAATCTAGAATGTTCTCAACCCGACAAGTTACGACTCGAATAACACGACCTTCGTCAAAACGACCGCTGGCAGCAATGGTAGAAATATGCCGCCTGTGCCCGGGCGGGCGTATACGACCGCTGATGTTTTTTTGTGAAATCTTTACTATTTTGATGAATTTTTTACAAAAATATAGAATACATTTTCTATAACAGCATTTTTATAATTATTCTGTACTTCTGGCGTCTGGGGAATTTTTTCTCATCTATATATGGCAGTCAACCTGTTAAATATGGTTCAGATGATCATGTACATAGGGCTAAGGGTCGTATCGTCAGTCGTTCCTACAATTGTAGGACACCTTTATAGCCTCATTGATTTTCATAGTTTTCTACTGTTCCGTATCAGCGCTCTATTTTGAGGCTATGTTACAAATATCCATTTGCATCAAATTGTTCACGCTTTTGATTTATATCATCCGTTATATCAGCCTGAAATTTCTTACAGTTCAAAAGGAAACATAGCCTCACAATGGGAGAGCACTGACTCTGACATGGAATAGTGGAACTCTAGAAATACCCCATCCTTTCTGAAGGAGAGAAAAGATTTTGAAAATCAAGGAGGTCATAAAGGCGTCCTACAATTGCGGCACATAGAATAATAATGGCCTAACTCCTCTGATGTTTCAGTATTATCCTATATGCAATGATTATACCACTTTTAAGGTGAACTATATTGAATTCAATTCAGAATAAGAGTATGATGGCGCCATCTATTGATCGGATAGTGAAACAAGGGGTTAGGCGAGCTTTAAGGTTGATTCTCACTATACATTCCGTTTCCATTCCGTAACTGTTCCGTAAATTATTGAAATTAAATATTCGCCTTCGCTTAAAGCAGGCTATTGCGTGTGTATGCACATTATCCGTAAGGTATACTGTGTATACAATCAAATTGTACTGAACGTTTACGAAACTGATATGGAATGGAAACGGAATGTATAGCGAGAATCAACCTTTATACTGATAGATATAGGTAGATTGATACCTTTTATGTGAATGGCGCGAATTTTCAAAACAGTGGACTTAGAACATTATTATTATATGTGGCTCAATTGTAGGAATGACTGATGATACGGCCCTTAGGGCCATTTCTTCCTAAGTGCCGTATCGTCAGTCGTTCCTACAATTATTGTAGCACGCCTTTATGGCCTCCTTGATTTTCATAGTATTTCCTCTCCTTCAGAGATTTCTACTCTTCCGTGGCAGCGCTCTCGTAATTAAATAAAAAAATGTTTTCTTTTTGAATGGTAGCAAATTTTAGGCTGATCAAACAGATGATAAAAGTCAATGCATGAACAATTTGATGCAAATAGATATTTGTAGCATAACCTCAGAATTGAGCGCCTCTCTGAAGGACAGGAAAAATATAAAAATCAAGGCCATAAAGGCGTCTTACAATAATTGTAGGAACGACTGACGACGCGACCCTTAGATATTGCCCTGAATAACATTCATGTCGAAAACTTAATGTACAAACGCCTCTTACCAGACATCTATATCCATTTTTGGCAGCAGTCGAAATCAACACTGCTTTGTGGCACTCCAAGAATATTGTATTGTATCTTATTTTAGCATAAGACGGACAAGGAGAAACAAAAACAATAAGTTTTTACATAGTTTAATTCATATAATTTTTCAAATGCTGTGAAATTGCACAGTTACTACTATACATATTTTGTTTACAATTTTCTTCTACCTACATCATATGACACCCGTTAATAAATATATTAAATCTACTTTCATATATAACACACGCAAGTTCGGCTATATTAATATATTTTTACAATAACATCACAATAAAAAATGTAAAAAATGCATAATGTATACTGTATGTGTAGAATAACTTTATATGCATTTTTATATAACTTGAACAGAAAGAAAATGTAAAAAACGTCATCAGGATTGAAAGTAAGTGTATAAAATGCGCGTATGTAGTAAATTCCTCTCAACAGAGGTATATATAGCAGTCTTTGTAAATGTAAATATTGTCAAAAATTGTAATAAACAACATAATATTAAACATTTTGATTCTACGTTAGTGCGAACGTTGGCTTAATGCTATTTTTTTATAAATGAGCACCTTTTAAAAACCTAGATCTACTAATTACATTTTTAAAGCTTATTTTTTTACAGGGCTTCACAGGTTTGCGCTAACTTCTATTTTCAAAAGATTCGTTAACATCGTGAATCTAAAAAATATAATTCGAAAACAAGTTTTGAAGTAAGCACATACCGATACATGTGGATATAGAGGTTATTTTTGGTTGTCCCACATAAATCTAAACGAATTGATATGTAAAAAATTATACTTTATTCAAATTCAAACAAATATTCACAAAATATAGTCAAGCACCACGATAAAGTTATATTTCTGCTGAAAACATTTAAAAAAGGATGCTTGAACTTAAATCAGGGCATTCAGGTATAGCAGATCTATTGCTCATGGAACCCCGAAAAAATAGGAGTCGTCAAAAAAGTATGCAAACCTATATAGACACATAGTAAGTAGTAAAAGTTCATGCCATAGGCGTCACATTTTGGTCTGTTTGGGATGTTTAAGTCCTCCTTTAGTTTAGATACATGCATTTTCTTCTGATCTACTTAAAGTGATGGACTCAACTCACTAATATCTGTTTTCTGGAAAACCCCAAATTATTGTGTTCGTGATTTTCAGGACCATATGTCCACTTTTATTTTGTTGATTCGATATCGAATAAAAAATACCTACATAAAATATACTAAACAAAGATAATGAACATTATCAAGGTTTCTCAAAATTGAAATGAAGAAATATATATATATATAATTATCAACATCCTCACATACTACTCTCCTGATGATGATGGCAAAGTCCATTGAAAGCTAGAGAGAAAAAAAGTATAAAGAGTCCTCTTTGCTTAAAATTTTTGTCGAAGTACCCAACAAAAGGCGGAAGCTTTAATTTTTCACCTAACTGACAACGTCTCAACGTGATCTAGTATTTACTCAACATTACGGATTTCTCGAAATACATTAAAAAATGTGACCTAGATACCTAACTGCCCAAAGCTTTTTAAATATAACACCTTAAACCAGGGTTACCAGGTGCTCAGTCACGTTGATTGTCATGTTGTACTGCGCAAGTCAGCAAACAATCTGGCGTAATAAACGTTAGGAATCATCAGGTATTGCCAGATTCCCGAATACCGGGCACCATAGTACCCGTTATAGTTGTCCTTCAAAGTTGTCAAATCGCCCCTATGGCGCAAATTCGCCACACCAGGCAACTGTGCCTTAAACAAACCCTGTTTATCACTACTATTTGATAGTCATATGGTAGTTGTAGCCCTATTTAGCGGTCCATGATTTCTCTCAATACTGTTGTATCTCTACTGGCAACAAGAATAGGGATTACAAAATCATTTATACAACAATATACAAACATGAAAAATATGATTTGAACCATGAAACATTAATACAATTTTAATAGTTTGAACTTTTTTCATTTTTGGAATACTCTTATGTGGAATCCGCAGCTATTTTTCCCGAAATTTGGGTAGCTTAGATTTCTTAGAAATATGACATATTGGTACCGGCAACTCTGCGAATGGGAGAAACAAATCGCATTTGTTGAGCGCATCCGTCTAAGCGGCAGGCGCCAGCGCCCTTTCTGCCATCTCTCTTATCACTCTTCTACTTTACCCCGTTGTCCGTCACACTCCGATGCTGCCAGATAGGATCCTACAATCGAGTGTCTTTCACGCACCTACATACTTTTGTATATTCCCATCTCTCTTCCTCATCATAATGTATAATAATGGTTTTTCCGAAGGTGTATATATATATATATATATATATATATCTTTATATATATATATATATATAAAATATGATAACCAGAATAAATGTACAATTTTGAATGCATCAAAACGCTCATACATTTCTGATAAAATTTGTTTAAGGGCATCCTTGTTCGGTTATTTTGGAATATTTGTTTGAACATCTATAAGGAAGAATTTTGATTAAGTACAAGTAGTATACTTTCCAATGATTACGTTAATCAATGACTTTGTGCAATATAATGCATTTATTGATCAGCAAAATTCCTTGTGACAGCTTAACATTTTACTATGTACAAAATCACAAATAGTTTTCTCAAAATTGATATCTCAAGCCTTTCTCAAGCATTTCTTTATTAACCAGCAGCACAGGTAATTTTTACAGCCAATGCCTAAATGTTAGATACATGTATAAAAATCCAAAAATTTGAGAAAAGTGTCTTCGTTGTTAATTTAAAATCAGCATTCTTTCATGACGATTTTCGTTCTCTCTCGCAAATGAGAAAAACTTTCGGCTTTTTTCATGAGCTAATTTCACAAATTCCCAAATGCGCTACATTAATTTCATGTTATACGGACGCGTTGTCGGACCAGTTGGACACGACGTTTGGATAACGAATACGGTGACACTGTGGCTGCCGCGTTAAGCTCTCCATTCACGATCGTTTTAATGCGAAATTTGACGCAATCATAACCAAAAACCATTCACGAATGTAGATTTGAATTATCCGAAGCGAAACACTCCAAATTTTGTCTGCGTTGCTCAATTTAGAGCAAGTACGGATGGTTGCGTTGAAATAGAGCACCAGGACTATGGAGTGACGTGTGAATCTGGTAATTAGCATCTGTTTTCAGTGGTCTCAACTTGAAGCATTCACACTACAAATGATTGATCTCCATTGTACAATATTGTGACACCGACAGTTGCATCCAATTTCAATATTCCGCTTTCCTGAATTTATGTCTTTACATTCACAAAGTGAAGGTATTGGAACCAGTAACCAATCGTCCGTTTTCATGTCGACGCATTTTTAACTGATATATGGCGAAAATTGTCTAAAGTACTGCCACGATAAGCAACAGTCGGGAACGACCCCATAGCGACCTTTTGAAAAACATTATTTGCATTAACAGCTGAATGCTTATACTTTGTATTAAAGCTAACCAAAGCAGGTAGTTTATAAAAAATTTAATTACAACCTAGTTGGATTGTAGTCGTTTGTCATAGTAGTCGTTTTTTTAAGCAAATAAAAATGTACAATGTATAGCTTCAAATAATACATTTGTACAATAAATACCGAAAAAGATTGGAAAAAATTTATGACGTGTCCTTCGTAAAATTTATGACGTGTCCATTGTAAAATTTGTTACGTGTCTTACGTATAATTTGCACTACAGGGATTGCTATTTACTTGATAGTCCGACATTAACGTGACGCTAAAAGCGTAATGTCTCTGGCGTTCGTATAACATGTCTGTGACGTTGGCCGAGGCGATACTAGAACGGCGGTTCTAGAATCTCGACGGTCCTTCGTGCATTTTATCTGAACCTGTGAAACTAAATCACAACCTGCGACTTCAAAACGCCTTATTCACGCTCTTCATCAAGAAATCAGACCTCAGTCTCGATTTTAAGATTACAATACTTCTCGGCCATTACAGCCAGCACTTGTTCAAACTTGGCGTGTCGCTCATTGGGTGGGGCATATGCCCCTCTGCTGCCCCACAGGAATTTCAGTTGGAACTCCGTACGGAACATGTCCAAGGTCAACTCGTCCATGCGGGCTTCTCCTAAGACGATTTCCGCATTTCGCTGGTATGTGGCGCTCAACTCCATGTACTTGCGAGCTGTGTCTAGGTGGTTTAGTAGCGTGCTTAGGCCAAAGTCCTGCAAAATATAAACAGTGTGAATATTAGGGCTTCTAAATGGACTGGACAAGCTTCTGCTGTTTACTCTATACCCTATTCGTAGTCCATTTACGCCCCGGCACAACAAAGGCACATTCGGCCATAAAACTACGAACAAGTGCAGGATTCGACAGGATCGAACTCTAGGCTCGGGGTATCGCCGGCAGTTGCTGTTCATATTCGGTGCATTCATAGCGTTTAGCGTGTGCTTATACGTTAGCATGTCGTCTACGGATACAGCAGATGAAACTGAGAATATTTCTTCCAATGCTTCGTTCAGCCATGCTTCCTCTTTGGTGATGCCTCCTCCCCGGAAACGTGATAAGAAGGGACATTTGCATATTTCGGCAAAAGAAATTGACCTTAACGTTTATAAGAGCGAAATTTTAGAGCATCCTGAAATGAAAATTCATGATGTTGAAAGACGTGTAGCGAACAAAACAGCCTTATGTTCTAAGACAATTTTAAACATTGTTAAATAAAAAACAACAAAATTGTTTCTATCACACAAGAGGCTGCATCTCACGAAGCTGTTGGATACAGTTGATAACTTTGATCGGACTGTCATCAGTCGCAAAGTCCATCAATTTTTTGAAAGGCAGGAACTTCAAACCACAGACAAAGTATTACAGGAGGTTAATAGTGACGAAGACTTACCTACACATTCTACAGTTTACTCAAAGAACTTCATTTTGAGTATAGAAGACGGGACAGAAATAGTATTTCGATGGACAGCCAAGATATTATTTTATGGAGAAGAAATTATTTAAAATCAATACGTGACCAGGGCAGGAAGATTTATCACTTGAAACCTGGATAAATGCAGGACATACAAAACCTAAAGTATGGGCTCAGTATACATTTAAATTGGCAAGTCAAGCCTTCTTAGATGAACTAACCACTAAAGAATAGCTGAAAACTTAGCTACACTAAACTTAGCTATATCTGGTAGATTTGGAACCAACAACTGTTAGATAATCTAATTGTATAATTATTAATTTTCTTGATACTATATGAATTAATTATTTCCAGAAAAACGGACACGATTTGTTATCAGTCACATAGACAGTGAAGATGGCTTTGTATCCACTGCCTATGGGCAGAAAATGACAGACTACCATGAAGAAATGAAAGGGAACGATGGTTTGACGACAATGCCGTCATTGTACTTGATAATGCTGCATACCACACTAGAAAACTAGAAAAAATTCTCACAATGTCAACAGGAAAGGCAGAAATTCAACAATGGCTCCTTACAAAAGACATTAGTTTCAAAGGAAATATGGCCAAAGTAGAACTTATCCATCTAGTCAGGCAGCACAAATATAAATATAATCTTAATGTTATTGACGAAATGGCTAAAAACCAAAATACGACCGTTTTAAGGCTACGCCCTTATCACTGCGAATTAAATCCCATTGAAATGATTTGGGCAAATATAAGAAACCATGTGGCTTCAAACAATAGAACATTCAAATTTTCTGACGTGAAAAAATTGTTTTATGAAGCTGTCAACAGAGTGACAGCAAACCAATGGAAAGATTGCATCCGGCATATGATCATATTCAAATTGAACCTGTAATAATTAATATTAACCATTCGGACGACGATTCAAGTAGTTCCAGCGAATAAAGAATTGTGAAAAGTGTGTGTACTTATTTCTATAAAAATAATCATTTATTTTGTTAGATTACTCGAAGACCATTGAGGAAAATACGGACCTGTACAATCTCGTTTTGGGCATGTTTTGTCTGGGCGTAAATGAACTACGAATGGGGTATAGTATCACTCGACCCCCCTTTCCATTTAAGATTTTGGGGGTGTTGTTACCCCCGCTTAGGGGGCTACACGTGCTAACGTGATTTTTTGCCAAACTTGTGTCCCCTTCGAAAACAAAATCGACGGGTCTGAGCGTTTTTCCAAAAAAAAAACTGAGCTGCCAGTAAAGGCGTCTGTTTCGTTTTCGATGCGCCTCCCTGTATAAACAAGATATCGATGGGTAGAGATAAAAAGCATGCCTTGAAGTCAATGTGGCGCTTCACCCTTCGCAGGTTCTCTGAGGCTGAAGACGCTGGAATACTAAAACCTCTAACAACCTGTGATTGAAAAACTGGGTCTTGCTCTTCCGGGGTTTTCTTAAAGCTGGAACTTTTCATTCTACGCGTTTTTGTAAAAGTAACTAAATTTGCCTAACAACTTTTACACCAAAGTCAAGATAACCAAGATGTCAGGTACCGAAGCAAATGATTATGTCAAATGATACGACTGTTTGTGTATAAATTGATTTTGAAAAACCTATTTCGACAATGAACTTTTTGATTTGATGTTAGTTTATGGTGAGTGAGTTATGGTTGCAGCCACAAATGTTATAAATCAGGGAAATAGTTAAGAAACGTGTTTATTAATCGGACGGAGGTACTTGATTCTTCATTCTTTTCACTACGTCTTCACTGCTATACCGCATATTAGATTTGTATAAACAAAAATAGATAATCTTAGCAAGAAATGTGATAACTTACTGAAGTGTTCGATTCCCAAGGATTCAAGCAACTCTGAACTAAAGACGACTGTTCATTTCCGAGAGACAAAAGATCTTCCAGCGTTTGTTCTAATAGTAGAATAAATGGCAGAAGATGAGGTATGGTTGTATTTGGTGCCTGTGGATTAGAACAGCTGTTCATGTTCTTCAAGGTGGGCCGTAGTTTGGCTTCAAAGTTGAAGGCAGCATCTGTGTATTTTTGTCGAAGCATGTGCCACGTCGTGTCTAAACGTTCAATCTGAAATTCAAAAGATCACAGTATATTTTATAGATTATACTCCCAACACAAAAGACTCTATACCAATTTCACGCCTATGATAGAGGTTAATATGACGTGCTTTTGTTCGTTGTCCCGTGTACATCTGATAGTTGCCAATGAGCATGATTGGATGGATGAAAAATACATAATACAAACGTACAAACTCACTTGTGGTAAACATAATCCTAGCATGATTCCGCAGAACCCAAATAGGTTCCCTAGAGCGGTCTTGGTATCTATCGCTATTTCAATCCACTTGTAAAGTATTTCCGTCCTTTCTGTCTCGTCTGCGCACGTTAAAATTGTAACTGCTACCAATAACTTCAAGCATTCGGTCCTGGAACCAGAAATACGTATATTGGTACAATGTAAATATATACAGGCTGTCCGTAAATTTGGGCTATCCTTTACACAGCTTGTAGATCTCGAAAAAATAAGCAGTTTTTCCTAGTAGCATATACACCAAAGTCTTGAGATAACCGAGATATTACGTTTTGCAAAATCATTAAAACCTAAGCTAAACCTAATCCGGTCATGTATCTATATCAGATCAAAAGGGAGAAGGCACTACGCACGTCAGTGCTCAAGCGAGGCGCCGGCAGCGTAGATAACTTACAGCAAGATCAAACTTGTCGACATGATTTTAATTTATGATGTCTTCAAAATGCTACCTTGTGCAAAAAACTAGGGATGCGGGAATGATAGATGCAAGTGAACGGTGAGTACCATTTCACTTATATTTTTTTTACTTTTTAATATCTCAAGCGTAGTTGTTCCTGAAGAGGAAAGTTCCAACTTTCAGGATACCCTGTATATTCATTATATTAATTGCACAGAAAAAATTAAAGACACATCCTAATTGTCCAGCAAAGTTCTTTGACTTTTCTTTCAATTCCTCAAAAGTCGGAATTAATAAGTTGAATTGATCCCTAGAGCCAAATTTTTGCAGCTTTTACCAATAACAAAATTGTATTAAAAATACAAAAGGTTCATGTAAACATAGGTCATCCACGATGTTTACCTTTCGATAAGGTCTTTCCTAAACCGCCTCCCATGTGGTAATGCAGACAGTGCCATACCTCCTATTAGTTTCTTTGTGACAGCATCCACTTCTTTATCGTCATTACCAACATTTTCCCCAAAGATGACGTCCAAATCCGTCCTGGTCAGATGGTTGGCCAGAACTCGAGGTCCTGACTCTGCTATCGTCATCTTCAGTCGACGTAATGCCTATTTATTTTAATATATTTAAAACTAATATGCTTCACAAGATGTTGGAAATCTCTCGTTAATAAGTTCTACAAAACAATTTTTTCAACAAAAAGGGGCGTCATGTAGGTTGAATCTGCACTTCCCACGCAATGCCGTGATAATCAGTTCATAAAGGATTATGTTCAGCACAAACTAGACCCTCTGAGAAAAAAGTTAGCTTCATACAATTAGTCCATAGACATTCTTTCCGTGCCCTGCCGATAGGGCATCTGGAAATGTCGCCATTCCCCGTTACCTAACTCGGGCAGACGTGGCACCGTGGGCGTGGTAGTGTGGCCAGAGCATAGAAAACACTACGCTGTTGCTCGGCAGAAATATTTGTCATTTCATAACAGCAAAGTCATCACGGTCGGCGCACGACACCAGCAACAGCCGCAGCCGATAAGTTCGCGATCCGTCTCCAGTTTTCAGGGCTAATGTACAGAGAAATCAATGATGTGTGAAATATGTCTAGTAGGTACGTAGAATCGGCAATTTTGGGAGCGTATAAATGTACCAGCATAAAAAATTGAGTTAAATTCTCACAACCCAAACTCCCAAATTTTTTTACCACTAAAAGTTCTTTAAAAAATGATGAGGATCCTCGGAAACGTCAAAAAATGAAGTTTGAGCGATTTTTATTTTATCGTTGTACGCCTTTTTCTCTGCTGCCACCGGCACGATTTTCAAAAACTGACGGAAATGAGTGACATGTTTTTTCATGATGTACATTTCATATAACATCGAAAAAACATCATTTTCATTTTCGAAGATCTTCGCGATTACATTATGCCTATTGTTACTTCAGAAAATTTCCGTAAAATTCGTCGGCAGATCTAAAAGTGATGAAAGCAGAGTGTTTGTGATCTGCATTTACCTGTGCGTCCAGTGGCTTGTTCTCATTAACGGGTAACAAAAGGGTCTGGAAGTTATCCAAGTCGAACCGTGAAGTTTCATTGATACAAGGCGCTGGAGTTTCCATAAGTTGTTCTTCTAAAGCCGGATAATCTGCTGCTGGCATGCAGAAGTTTTTCAATGTGGCAGTGGAATCTGAGCTAGAAAGGTTATACCTGAAACATCATCCCTTTATTAATAACTGAAGTTGAAAGAATTCAACATTTCATATCAGTGAATTCACGAGGAAAATAGAATGTTAACCAAATTTCAAGCTGGATTTAGGAAGAAACACTCAACTGAAGCGGCAATTCAAATGGTTTTAGAGGACTGGATGAGATGTATGAACATTAGGAAACATACAGTAACAGTTATTTTGGACTTCAAAAGGGCATCTGGCAAAGGAAATCATTTAACAATTTCAGCTTGTTAGGGATAAATTACTCATAAAATTGCATGACTATGGATTTAAAGGATCTGGATTCAAAATTCTACAAAACTACTTGACGAAGTCGAAAATCAAAATTGGATCTACATTTTCAAGCTCAAAAAACATTTATGTTGGTGTACCGCAAGGTAGTAATTTAGGTACACTACTATTTATTTTATACATTAATGACATTTGTGATTATTGTAAAATTCAGATATTGGTTTTAAAAATGCTAAATTCTGACTTGGCAAAAATCATAAGTTGGTTAAAAGTGTCAATAAACTGAAATTGAATGCTGCTGAAACAAAATGTATGCTAATAGGGAAATACTTAAATGAAAACATTTTTTTAATATCTTAAAAACCGTCAACTGGAATGAACTAAAATTTGGTATGTATATTTCCCTAAGTATTGACCATATTCAAAAGTATTTACTTGAAATTAAAGTGCACCATTGGCGGAGATACAGGAGATTAGTTGCATTATTTTTCCAAATAAAAATAGTACGCCACTGGTTTTTTCGAAACGCGCAATTTTTTTAATTGTACCTTCAATTTCCTACAACTGATTACTCTTGTGTTCTTTTTCTAGAGTGCATTGTTTCAGTAAAAATAAAAAAAACGTGGGGTTGGTTGTTAGGTAACGATAACAACCGTATAACACATAACTTTGACAAACTATCTCCCAAGAAACGTCAAGTTGGTATCAAGGCTTCCTATTTTATTTTGAAACTGATTGTATCTCGGCCCTTCATGAATTATCTAAATTTCTTTTATTTTTATTCTTACGAAAACAATGCACTCTAGGAAAAAAACACAAGAGTAACTATTTGTAGCAAATTGAAGGTGAAATTCGAAAAATAACGCGTACGAAAAAACAAATCGGTGGCATACTATTTTTATTTGGAAAACTAATGCCACTAACCCCTTGTATCTCCGCCATTGGTGCACGTTAATTTTAAGCAAAAACTTTTGAATGTGGACAATACTTGGGTAAATCCCCTTGTATACATATTGATAGTATACTAAAGTTTGAGTATTACTCTGAATATACTGTTTCAAAAATTGACAGAAAACAAATTACTTTTATAGGGCTTCTCATAGTCTTAGCACATATTCCAAAAAAATAATTCAAAATACAATGATTGCAATTATTGACATAAATATTTTCTCTCACTTCTGCTTATAATAGATGCCTTAACATCATTCTATAAGTATGTAAAATTTTAACTTTTATCCAATCTTGATATATTTTACTCATTTAATTAATTTTGTTGTTGAAACCTCTGCATTTTTAATGGTATATATTGTTTTTATTGTGTATTTTGTGGATAGACATTTTACGGGTTGAATGGTTGAATAGCTTATTATTATTAATATTATTATTATTATTATCATAATTGAGCCATTGAAAGCCAGGATGGTCCAAGTCACAAAAAGACGTTTCCGAGATTTAAGGCTTTAAAGTTTAGATGCGGCTGATAAATGTAGAGTAATAAAACTGCAGTAAGAAATCAAAATACCCTTAAAGGTAGAATCAATTTAAGTATCTTATCATAAAATACATGAACATTTTGTGTTCATGTGTTTTTTTTTTCATATGTTTAAGCTTTAGCCCACTCTGCCTTAAAACGGTTCTTACCTTTGGTTTCATACTTGTATAACGATTATAGTAAAGTAGAGTATTAAAGTAGAGTTACACAACATTATATGAATTGATAATTTTATTACAAAACGACAGAAATCAATCTCCATACATTAAAAAAATAATGTATATTTTCTACACAAAAACTGTACTGTACTGACGCGACCTTATGGAATTTCTGGAAATTCTCGAGTCTGTTCGCCTTCTCCTTCTTCTTCTTCAGTAACAAGCAGTGGTCCGGTATCTGGTAAAGTTGCATCTGTCTTCAGATTCTTGAAAAAACTGTGATCAACTGGTGGTATGAATTGGAGAAGCTCTTCCATGTTTTTCTTCTTTTTGTCGTTGACATGAAGAGGGGATTGATACAAAGGAGGTAGGTTTATATTTTTGAAGTTTTTGGGTGCGCCTTTTCGATTTGGTAGTAAATTTATAAAATGATATGGAAATTCTTCATTCAAAGTTTCTTTATAAAACATTTTGTAAGGTTCTTTTTCCTCAAAGTGTAGCCACTGGATCTGGAGCCATGATACAGTGGCATTAGTACCATTTTTCTTTCGTCTTGTTACAGCTTTCTCTAATGTTGTTGATGAGAAAAAATCAGACCGTTCCATCTCACAGACGTAAAAGGGTTTCCTGGGTCTGCATATTCTTATTGTTATACCAGTTTTCTGGCACGTACTTGATGCTATTTTTTATATGTGTGCAAAACGAAAAGATACATTCTTCAAAACTCTCCCAGACAAAGATTCATCCATCCAGAACAGTATACACATAGAACCTCGATATCTGAAAATTTGGACTTGGACCATCCTGGCTTTCAACGGCTCAATTATTCTACCGCATTTGCTATATTGTTAAACTACGACTATCTTGTTCACTGCCAATGAAGCTGTATTCTCAAAATTACAAGTCCTACAAAATAAAGCTATAAGTATAATATCAAATAAAAATAAGTACACTAAAATAAAATCTGTTCCAAGAATTGCAGTGGTTGAATATACAAAAATTCATATATTTGTTTCCTATTTTTATATTTAAAATGAAAAATCATCTTTTGCCACAACATTTAGCACATTACATGAACTGAATAATCATTACCACAATTACTATACAGGACGAAAATTCAAATAGTAATATAACTAGTAAATCAACATTTGAGAAAGGATTTCTTGAATTTAATAAACTAAATAATTATATAAAGTCTACTTGTAATTTAAAGATGTTTAAAAGAAAATTAAATAAACATTTCATGCACAGTAAACAAATTTAGAGGTGCAAGTTTTGTTTTTCTAAATATTTGTATACCCTATTTCACGAGTATCCATCACGGTAGAATGACAGACGGATCCGTCAAAGACAGGTAGACGGAGCCGCATTTTGTTTTGGTGTTTTGTACGCTACAGATTCATTTTGTACTTGCTAACAGCTCTTTTATTTAGAAAAGTTCATTTGCATACAAAAAACAATACGCCACAAACAATTTTTACTAGATTTATACCCGATTCATTATTACCAACGTTGCAGAGTAACATAAAAATGTCACTTGCTGATCAGCTGTTCACCTGAGTAGACGTCAAAGCGCGATGGATACTCGTGAAATAGAGTGTACATATATGTTATGTAATTATTGTAGTTTTTAAAGTATGTAATTGTAGCAATCATCCACAATGCACAAAATGGCATATTTCCACATATCTCACCTAGGGTTCTTGATAACAACACCTCCTCCTGTTTTGGTGGGCAGGGGAGGCTCCATAGCGTCTGTAGCTGAACTTAACGCCGAATCGCCACTACCGTTGCCCGAATCACTGCCAGACGCGTGGTAGGAGGCCAGCCTTTGGAGCCCCATTTGGGGTCCAGTGACATTGATCTCCGAGCACCATTTGTAGTGATGGTGGGCAGGATCATCCAAAGTGAGGTTAGGTAGACGGGATGGTTTTGGGGGTGGTGACTCTGACAGGCCAGAGTCTGATTCGGAGAATAGTCGGCGTTCCGCGCAGGGGGATAGGGTTGTGTCGCTAGTTATTCTGGAATAGAAACGAGTTTCAGTGGGTGGACTCCATCTGATATGATTACTACGGCTAACACATTACTTTAAACAGACTTTCCAAAAATCTAGGCAGACAATTTGTAGGCTGTTTTCAAAGTTGGGACTTGCCTTTACAAAGAGTATAGTTCTTGTCAAAATAAGCAAACATTCCAAGTAACACATAGATCGCAGTCTCGAGCAAAGAATACAGAGTTATTAGTTGAAGTCAAAAAAACAGATTGTGCCACGGTGGCTGAGATTATACCTTTGGTGAAATGCTACATATCATTTGGATGCCTCACCCACTCATTACCTGCGGTAATAGTTCAGGAAGTATCTTCTGCTTGGAATTCTGATTAGTTTTTTTGCACAAGCTTAATAAAAAAAACAACAATTTTTGACGCAATTTTAAGCAATGCAGATTCATTAAATGGGGTCTTTTTTGAATGAGATTATGCTAAAAAATAATCAAAATATTTTGCTAAGTAGATGCGAAGATACTTCCTGCACTATAACTACCCAGGTAGTCGATGGCCGGCGTCCGATCCCGTCGAAAGTGGGTCCCGTGGCGTTGGTTGTGTACAGTAAAATGGTGTTCTGACGTTTCGTTGCCTTGTGCATGATTTTAGGCATATATTGTTATTGCAGCATATTTGGAATCCGTTTTGTCATACAGGAGCTCAGGTCGAGGAGTAATTGATACAAAATTTATCTGTGTACCAGTGTCAAAAACTCGATATCTCAAAAATGTGATATGTAGCTTTATTTCTAAAATAGCAAAAATTTCCAAAATAACTCATGATCGATTTTGGAGGCTTGGCCTTTTCGGAGCTGCGTTGAATATGTTGAATTGGGGGAAATATTTACAAATAACTTGGTCGAGCTGGCTTGTGTAGGGAAACGACTGATACCGGAAGTTTTGAGCGTCAGTTTAACTCACCCTTGTGAAGTTTTCTGTTGATAATTTTCTTTCACTTTATACACAAGTCCGCATTTATTTTCAATTCAAATATGTCACTTCTAGGGCAAATAAAGCTAATCCGAAATTGAGAACACTAACTCATCTATAGATTTATCGAAATAAGACAGAACAAAGTGCCATCTGTTACCAGAATCGACCATTGCGAAAGTGACAACAATTTTAGCTTGCTACGATAAGCGCTTCACCTTAAAAAATCTGTATGTATGATACACTCATCGTAGCAAGCTGAAATTTTCACGGTTTATTCTACATGGATTGAAATAGTTTTTGCAATAAAATGAATAATGAAATACAACCTCAATTTTTCACGAGATTTCAAGAGATTTTTCACAAAAAAATGAATTTAAGATTTTTTGCGTTGATTTCTAATAAGCTATGTTAAAAAGTAATATAACCATTGCTAAAAAAACCATTTAGCTCATCTCAGAAAAAAATCACAGCCCTAAACCTAGTGGTTTAGTTGTAATTGCGATTGAAAGTTCATTATCCGTTTGTTTTCGAAATTTCACAAAATATCTCCTGAACTATAAAATTTCGGACATATAGGGGTTCATTCGATAGGTTTTGAGGCCCTCTATCACCTGACTTGATCCACTACTAACTTTACATGCTGTATGTATTCAGATGCTTTCCTGGATTATTCTATAACGCGCCGTGTAGATTTGTTTACATCAAATAGGAATCTCAGGATGGGTACAGCAAAAAGCTCAAGCAGCAGTGTATGTTTTAAACTACATTAGCTTTGTAGCTTAGTTGTTTCTGAAAAGAAAAGTCCCAAGCTTCCAGAACATGCTAAATTTGTGGCTTGGTGTGAACCTAGAATGTAGAGTGAAAAATGAATTGAGTCGTTTTACTTACCGACAGTTTCTTCCCAAAGTATTTGAGCTACATGACAGTGATAGTTTGTTATGAGGATTTCTTGGCAGTGAATGTGTTGAAAACTTGGACCCGATGGAAATTCCATCTGACCCTGCCGATCGAGTCATCAAAGGTGACTGAATGACACCGTCCGCGCTGTTGCACTTCTCCTGAGATATCCTATTCACTTCTGAGGGTGTCAGTGACTGAGACCGTTGTTTCTTAGATGGTAACCTGGAATTACAAAAAATAAGTATGAAAATATGCTTTAGTAATAGTTTTCTACAACTGCCAGAAGAAGTACATATTGCTAATGGCCGGGCATATTAAGCTCGATTTATCACCTTGAAATGTAATGAATATTGTCGGGTCAGATAATGATCTTGATACTATGATATTAAATGACATCATCTGACTCCCACATTGAATTCTGGCATTGATTTTGAAATCTGATTGATATTGGTCCTCTGACAACTATGACCTTGAAATCTGTCATTGATGTTGAAACCTGACTCTGGCCTTGAAATGCGACATCCAGCTTGAAAGTTGACCCGAAGATTTACATTGAAAACTGACACCGACCTTGAAGTCTGAGGTTGGCCATGAGATCTGACATTGACCTTGAATTATGGCCCTGGCTTTGAATTGTTACATCCAACTTGAAATTTGACTTTAGGTCTGATATTGACCTTGAAATATGACACTGATTTTGAAATCGGACAATGCTGTTGAAATCTGGAATTGATCTTGAAATCTAACCCTGACCTTGAAGGTTGACATTTACATTGAAATCAGACTCGATCTTTGAAGTCTGACATTGAATTTAATTATGAAATAATGCCCTGACCTTGAAATTTGACATTTGCAATGGGTTTTGAAGGGCATCGAAGTTTGCTATTGACCTTGAAAGGTGACACAATCCTTAAAGTGTCACATGGACCTTGAAATTTCAACTTGAGATTAAAATCTGGCATTGACCTTCAGCTTTCCTCAAAAATGCTTACCTAGGTGGTGCGTCTCTCCCCGGCCTGGTAGGCGAATTTCCGGAACCAACCCGGAACGACCCTCGGTACTGTCCCATGGGCGTACCAGCGGGCGAGGAAAGCCTGCTCTGAGGCAGCGGCGTGGGGTACTTTGAGGCGTAGAACGAAAGGGGGTACATGCGATTCTTGGGATGTTGGATGCGGGCACCGGATAGGACTGTGATTGGCTTGCCGGAACCTACGTAGTACGTGATGAGGTCGGGTACCGTGTCGAATGGTTCATCTTCGAACTGGAACTGCACCTAAAATAAGTTCTTGGCGTTCATATAATACGTCACTGAATGGGATAACAATTAAAAATACAAAGTTTGTGTACTTACCCTTTCGTATACGGTATCTGGTTGCAAGACAACTTTATTGATGACGAAATGGAGGGCGTGTCCCTTGCACCTGCATGTGAGGACATAGTCGCCAGGTTGAGATGCACAATCCCTCACTAGGAACCCACCCTCCTCACGAACTATCTCTTCGGCACGGGCTCTTGGTATTGCTCCATGGTACCTTTAACAAAATATTCGACATATTTTACATACTCATATGTTCAAGTTACTGTCACCTGCACAAAATCTATTGGTCAACGAATTCGAATAGTTAAGAACACACAATCTCCTACCCTGTGAGTTCCCGCCACGATCCCTGTTCCAGGCAACCTCAAACGAATAGATTAGAAGGAGCCATGTTTGCATTGTATTGCTTGTCGCCAAAATTGTGTAGTTTTGCTTACGATTGCCTATTAAAATCATAAACCAATAGATCGCTAATCGTACAGGGTGTACTTGCATTGAGCAGGACAAAAATTCTATCTGTGTTGCAGTGTGAATCGCTCATGTATTGCTACTAAACGGATAAATTGGAAAAATTCAATTAGTCAAAGAAACTTGAGTTAATATTTATTAACGGTGCAGCATATGAACAATTATGTTTAATTCGTGATTTTGGAAGATGCACGGAACAGTCTTCCATCTTATGTAGTGAACTCGGCATCCGTCAACAGTTTCAAAAACAATTATGATAGGCACCGCAGTGCTTAACATATTGTTCCCATTCTGTATATGTCTACTTCAGAAGTGCTAAGATTGTCAAATTGTTATATTTCTTTTGTCTGTACACTATTATCTATTATGTGTTTGAGTTTATAGTACTTGTACTCAACTCAAATTTGTTGTTTAATAATAATAATAATAAAAAAATGCAAAAAATAGTCTTCATCAAACAGCAACAATGGCGGAATACCTGATATTGGAAACAGTAAGACACCTTGCTTGAATTCTACTCAGTTTTTCTAAATAGCGAATATCTGGTTGAGCATAATATGGAAATTACTGCTATTATACGAGGGTGAACCAAATATGAACGGGACTTTTCAGTTTACCGTGCCATAGGTGAATGGAGTGGGGCGACGTCTTGGTATATGTGGGGTGGAGATGTCAGGAACAGGGGACTCAGTCCCGAAGTAGATGAGCTGTTAGAAGCATCATGTCTGAGCAAGAGTTGCACACGTCTGTTGCGCAACGTATTAACATACAATTTTTATCGCGGAAGGGCGTAAAATCTTTCGAAATTTCGTGTCTATTAACAGCACCGTTCGGCGGTAAGATAGTTTCAAGGACACAAGTATCCGACTGGCAATAAAAAGGATTTGGAAGTAATTTAATTAATTTGATATTTGTGCTTTTTGGGCTTATTGCGTCTCCTCAGTTGAATCACATGGCACTAAAATAAGAACGTAAAATTACTATTTATAACGCTATAGTAAATATTTTCCTAAGAAACTTTAGATTCAAGATTAATATACATAAGAAGTTTCGGATGGCCCCTTTTCAGTATCCATCAAACTAGTTTGTTTGTCCCCCAACATTTGCATCTTTCAAAGTTGTTATGTAATCAAGTCTGTTAATAAACCTTGGATTGGGACTGAGCACTGGAAAAAACAAGAAGTGGAATGAAATAAATCGAAATTACCTAACAACTGTCCAGGTACAATCCCAAAGTTGAGGTATATACCCTTTCGCAATGCTGATGACTTCAATATATTAACACTTACACATGCTTACTCATTTTAAACTGCTTTTTAAATTCCACAGAAACCTCCAGCATTTTCGGCCAATACTTGGAACACAAGGACTGAATGAAACCCACACAGTTTTTCATGTTTTCGCAGAAAAATACGACATTAATGTGAAATGTCAATAATTGACTTAAGACTGAACGACTTGTAGTATGAACTTATAACCTTACTACTGAGTACGCAATTTTGGTTATAAACAAATTGTAACTTGCTCTTTTTACTTAGTCTGTATTCGTTGTTTTCCCTTACCAAGCATGAGATCGTAGGTCTCTACCATCCAGGGATAGTTCCCATTCTAATGCTTTCTTGAGTTCAGTGACAGCTGATGGTGACGTATTTGGATCGACCACTGGTTCCTGAAAATAAAAAAATAGTTAACGGCTATAAAAAGGCGTTTGATGATTGGATCAAAACGAATTTTCATATTTAAAATCCCTAGTTATACACTTGGTTATACGTATTACGTTTGTGTTACGGCATTGATTAACATATTCTACATTAAGGTAGCCAACCTACTAATATATTCGTGCGTCCAAAAATTATCCGTGATAAAATGAGATCATCTATAAGAATTTGTCACAGCTGTTCCTCTATTCATTATACATATCTCGTATACTTTGAAAATATTAGTGTTTCATAGATGGAGCTGTAGTCAACTCTATGAGCACATACGAGCATGTAGGCAGCGCCATCTATGAGACCCTAACCCTCTCAAGGTATATATAGTAAACAGAGAAGCAGCTGTGACAAATTCTTATAGACAACGCTACGGTATCTCATTTTATCTCGGATAATATTTTGGACGCGCGAATATAAAATTATGTTGGCTGTCTTCAGATAGATTACGTTACACAATGGTTACGGGCATGACGTGTATGGGGCATTGGCCTTAATCGCCGGGCAATTACAAAAACGCCTACTGCGGGCGAAGAGTGTTGTTAATAAACTCATTTTAATGTCTTAATCAATAGTGACCAAAAAGAGCTGGGCAATACTGGACAAATAGAAGAAAGAGGAAAATAGTATTAAAACCTGGAACCTCTTTTATATCTTAGTAATAGGGTTGTTATATTTCTCAACGCTTGGAACAATTTGTTGGTATCGTGTTTAGTTTACTCATTAACATTAATGTTTTTCGCAACAAAACTCTACATTCTACCTTATCATTGGTTGATGCAGACTGGAAATTAAGATCGCATGTCCCTTTTTTCAACTGCCTGTTTGGAGCAGTATCCTAAATCCTTTTCATCTGATTATTTCATGGTGATTTTTTCAAAAAATGCATTTTTTGCATTTTGTCGTAACTTTTTAAAACAAACAAGTACAGCTTTGAAATTGTATATCGAAGTTACACTGTTATAGTAGAATTAAGCGGTTATCACTTTTTTTCAACGAAAAATCTTAGATTTTTTGAAACCTCATTTTGCAGCAAATTGAGTTTTCAATTAGTCTCCAGGCCAACGACGCTATCAGAGCCCTTGTATCATGTTTTGTCAACATTGCCCAACTTGACTGGACATTCACGTCGTTGATCCATCAATAACTTTATTTCCCAATTTCTCGTCTTCAAAATTCAAGTTCGCCAATGAAGAACTGCAGTCAAAAAAATTGCGTCATGTCGGTTGTTTCTGCACTTCCTGCGCAACTCAAGTATAATAGTTAGGAATATAGCCTTATTGACTTTTTGTGAGTCATAATGGGTACTATACACATATACTGCTTGATTCTATGTAACATCGATAGGTCTGCAGCGAACACCAAATAATGACTTTTTATAGGCAAATTTTTGATACATTAACAGCAAGTAACAGTAAGACTAACAATTCCGTCAGGTTTCCGTCAATTTACACATACACAACACAAATTATATACCTAAATCTTCCTCATGAATCCACCTATCTAATGGTGGAACCCATGTTAAAATCATTTGGATAGATTTTTAGTTTATTGCTTTCAGACAGGCGCAGTGGGGAACTTATAATATGCGGTGTTTTTCGTTGCCGTTAGCGTCGGCGGGGTTGAAATATTTTTTTATTTATCATTGTAAGTCTTAGGGCATCGAGCACCAACCAGGAGAATTCAAAACTAAATTAGTATGTTGCTGAAACTGCATATAATTCCTTAGGAGTTCTCTGTACAAATATACTAAGTGACATATAAATCCGAACACCCAGTTTAAATGGTTTTATTTTAATAAAATTTTGTATAAGTACTTAATGAAGTATAATAAGTAAATGATAAAAATTTCAAAATGATTGCACTGCTTTAAAGCCCTTTGACCTTTAATAATGTGTGGATGCACCCTGATGTGCTACGCACTCTCCAACGCGCCTAGGCATGCTTCTGATCAGGTGTTCAAAGTCCTCCTGTGGTATCTCATTCCAGGCAACCACCAACTCCTCTCGAAGTGCTTCTAGAGTCTGAGGAGGACGTTGCAAATTGAGTATCTCCTACCCATCATATCCCACACGTGCTCAATTGGGGATAAGTCGGGAGATCTTGGTGGCCATGGTATCAATGTGACATCATTATGTTGAAAGAAGTCTATTGTGACTCTTGCAACATGTGGTCGGGCATTATCTTGTTGGAAAGTTGGATCTGCCTGGGTGTCAAGATAGGGTAAAAGATGGGGTTCTAGAACTTCGTGGATATAACGCTGCGCGTTCATGTTACCTCTGATGAAGATTAAAGGTGACCTGGAACCATAAGCTATAGCACCCCAAACCATAACTCCAACAGTGTGATGAACATGTCTTTCAACAAAAACTGTGGATTCCTCCTTTCACCACGTCGCCTTCTAACCCTGGCACGACCATCGTGCATGCCTAAACAAAATCGAGACTCGTCACTAAAGACAATACTGTTCCATTCCTGATCCCAGAGTGACCGTTGTCTGCACCACTCAAGGCGATTACGTCGGTGTTCTCGAGTTAAAGGGAGGATTCAGTGTGGCCGGTATGAAAACAAGCCAAATCTTCTCATTCGTCGGTAAACACTTCGCATGCCAATAGGTCTTCCGTGTTCTGCAAACCATTCATTTGCAATGGACCTGGTAGTGGAGAAACGGTCCCTTAGGCGGCGATCTTCACGGTGTCTTGTTCTACGGCGGCGTCCAGTGCCCCTTACTCTTTGCATACGGCCTTCTCGAAGCCATCCCTGACAACACCTAACCACAGTGTCTACACTTCTTTGCACTCTAAGTGCAATTGCCCAAAAAGAAAGTCCAGCTTCCCGAAGTCCCACTATACGGCCCCTATCAAACTCACTAAGTTGACGAAATCGTACAGGTCTCCGTACTCTAGGCATCGTAACCGATCGCAAAGGATGTCAAGAACCAAAATCCGCCAACGTTGATTCTTTACTGCGGCTGAAATATTCATTTTTAGAGCGTTAGTGAATTAAAAAAAAGCAGTATAAAAACCGGAATGTCCAACTGATAAGGCTGAAAATTTTTTCACTTGTTATTTACAGTAAGATAGATACATCGACCAAAATAAAACCATTTAAACTGGGTGTTCGGATTTATATGTCACTTAGTATAATAAGATGATATTATAATAAACCCATAAACCCGGAAAAATCTAAGATTTTATTGTTTTGTTCAGACAGCAGAAGGAACGACGTTGTTTCGCTCTTAAATGTGGACATAGATAATAAGCAGCTCGAGCTCACCAATAGCGCAAAAATATTGTGTGTAAAAACTGATACAAAATTAAGATTTAGCGAGCATGTAAAAAATCTGACACAAAAAACCTATGCACGTTTACGCAGTCTTTATTCAAACAGATATCTGCTAAACTTCAAAATGAGGAAAAAACTTTACGAAACCTTCGTTGTGTCTGTCTTGAACTACTGCAGTATTCTATATTTTCCCTGTTTGGATCAGATCACTAAACAGAGAATCCAATTGATTCAAAACAGCTGTGTTCGCTTTATATGCGGCATGAGAAAGTTCGACCATGTCTCTCACAAATATGCAGAATTGAGATGTCTAAAGTTTGACCAGTTGGTCAAGTTACATTTTTCCACATTTATCCATAAAATTTTAATTAATTCTAAGCCAGAATACCTATGTGAAAAAATTATTTTTAATAACACCATTCACAATAGAGCTATTAGAGACAGGCACGTTCAGAATTCCGAAGCATACAACATCTCTGTTCCAACGAAGTTTCTCATATAACGTTGCAGCAATATATAATTCTTTGGACAGTAAATTTAAGACCATGAGTTTACCATGTTTCCGCTTCAACGTTAAGTTGAGTTATTTGAACGATTAACTTTTCCCTCAATATTTCATAGACCTTTTTACAGTAGCAGTATGTGCTTATTTTCCACTTCTCGTATGGGTTATAAGTGATTTGTTATATATATTTTGCATTTTTTTTCTGTTAGCTGTTAACAACGTAATATTTAATTTTAGTGGTTAAGTGTTAGAGTAGCATATTGCTAAACTTCGCCACTATAGTTACACATGTATTGTATATATTATTAATTTAATAAAGACGTTTATTATTATTATTATTATTTCTCATAGTGAGGTTGTAATGTTCTAAAACATTTGTATACCGGACTAATTTCACAATAGATTTCAAATATTTTGAGCAACAAGTCTTAGTTTTGTATTCTCTTGGTTAATGGTCGTAAATGTGTAAGCTATGTGTGAAATATGTCTAATAGGTGCGCAGAATAGGCGGGATTAAAAGCGTTTAAATATACTAACGCCGAAAACTGAGATCTGCCCTCCTTCAACTCCCAATTTCTAGCCAAACACGCCTGAAACGCCAAAAGCAAAGTCTGGGCGATTTTTATTTTTTCTCCTGTAGCAACGCCGTCACTGGACCAGCTTTCAAAAACTATAAGGATTTTTGGCATAATGGTAAACTTCTGTGAAAATTTCATTAAAACCCGAACGGTACTTTCTCAAGTCTAGACTGGCCAAGTATTAGCGGACAGACAAACAGACAGACAGATTGGCGGTAACGAGTGACATGGTTTTTCCTGTTGTTCATGTCATATCACATCCAAATAATATCTCATTCGAAATGCAGAAAAAATGATTACGGATTGCCATTATTCTTAACAACGGCGAGATTTACCTGGCTGTTTCTTTCAAGATTCTAGAGCAAAAGCAAACGAAAATAAAGGTACTCTGCAACATCTCACGGTAATTTCATTGTATTAGCCCAGACGCTAAGTGAATGCCGTGAACCCCAGTTTTTATCGATTCCTTCCTCTTAACCGTCGAGTGGATATATAAAGTTCTCCTTCAGATTCCCAAGGACTTATACAGCCGATACCGGACCAGAATAATACATGAAATGAAGTTGGATCTTTCTATTTTGAAGCACGATTCCTCTTAATAGCTAAAGGGATAAGTACTTCGAGTATCGAGCGTTTATCGTCTGCTCTCTTATTTACTTTTGGTGCGCACTTGCAGCTGCATTTTTTGCTGAGTTGATTTTCTTAAAATTGAGGATGATATACCTATTTATATTTGTCTGTCTG